TTTTAGAACATTATGAAAACATAGAGAGTGTTCATTAATAAAAAATTTGCAAGATATGGAGAAACATGCAAGACAGAGAAAAATTATTCATAATTCCATCATAAATTTGTTTAAAGGTTTAAACTAAACATCAACAGTACCCCCTTTCTGCCCCAAGTACATTATCTCCTAGTGCTTTTCTCTTTTTAGAAAGGGTAGTTCATATGACTTCGTTCTTTTACATGGCTGAATGACATTTAATTGCTCATTTGTTCTGCATCGGAAAGCGTGACTTTCCAGTTTGGGAGTCTGGTGGGGTTCGTGATGTCTACATACTGCAGGGGATTCTCTGTGAATTCTGGTGTTTCTGAAGGGTAGTCCCAGAAGTAGTGCAAAGATAATTTAAATTGATAGAGCTGCCACCAAAGTACCCTGCAGAGGGGAAGAGTGTCCTTTCCCCACCTCCTGACATCTCTAAAAGTTTCCATCATCCCGTAAGCTGTATCAGTGTCATATTTGGTATGAACTCGGAAGAGATGTGACATTTTCAATGGAGTGTTCTGGAGTGTGAAATTCCATGTCTTCTGGAGGCACACAGTGCCGTGGGTATTTCCCTCTGAACTGCTTGTTCATGCCATGCACTCTTTCTCCTGGATGACTTGTGCCATGCCTGTTTTTTGCCTTGGGGGTCTTGACACAATCGCATCTTAATCACAATCGCATTGTTGACCGTGCCTTCTCACCTGAGTTTACCTTTGACTCTCCTTTGTGCTGTTTCCAGCCCACAGAATGTTTTGTTTGCTTAACTACAAAACTGCACCTGCACCTGTCTTCTTTGGGGTGCATGGAGCTTGCGACTCAAAGATGTCCTTGGGCTTCTCCAAGTATAAGGAGTTTTAACGGCCTGGGGTGGAGGATACTGTGCTGTTGATTTGTTTCTTTTTCATCTCTTTTTCTCTTCCCCTCCATAAGAATTTTCTGGCAGCTGATCCTTCATTTCTCTTTGCAAGTATTACTTTTCTGCTGATCTGATCCAATCACAAACCATCATTTCATCTTGTATGGTCTACAAAGGTAAACCATAGAGCCTGCCAGTATTGTGTGCATAAAAGAGAGGCAAAGCAGTATGTGTTGGCTTGAGGCTGAAAGGCCTAGTCTCCAGTGAGGGCCCATGGGATGTCTGCCTGGCCTGTACAGGGATGTGTTCTGCTTAGCTGAGAATGCTGGGCTGCTATTCCTGGTGGAAATAGGCTGGGTCTTACAGGAGTGACCTTCCATCTACAGGGGTGCACAAAGCCTTCAGCGGCTGACTTAGACAATAAACTGTAACTACACTAGACCCCTCACTGTATTATACTGTCCTCCCCCAACCTCAGCCCCATGCCACCTGCAGGCACAAGAGCGGTTTCAGTCTGCTGATCTCACCAAGTATGTAGTGTGATACTGATGAACCTGTGAAGCCCCGCCCTATTCTGCCAGCCACTGGGTATGCCTGGACCTGCTGACTTTGCACTTGGCATTGTAACAGTTTTTGCATCTATTTGTCTGTCTTCTTTTGGGTTTTCCAAAGGGACACGGCTGTAATATTAACACACACACTACTGGCATGGAGCTCATCACATGGTGGGAACTTGGGGTAATAATACATGGGAAACCCTTCTAATTATTGGCCAGGGGAATCCAAGAGACTCCCAAAGACGATATAGGCTGTTGCCCTTGTTTGACTACTGGTAAAACTCTATTGCTGAAGGCATAGGACTTGGAGAAATTGAGCTGGAACTGACCTGAAAAGCAATTCAAAGTCCTAAAACCACAATAATGGCCACCACAGGAAGACATACCCAAGGGTGCAACAGTGGCAGTTATATTTTGGAAGTAATCAAAAAAACACCTAATCGGACATAAGGCCCATTCAATAGGAGAGAAAGCATGGCTGGGCTGGTACCGTAAACTTTGTCAACTACCTGTGGCTGATGAGGTCATGGACGCTGGAGGAGAACCTACAACTGCCATGTTCTTCAACCAGCATAATTCTAAACTTCATTCTACATATCTATCTTTAAATCCACAGATAATTGTATCCCTAATCAAAGAAGCTTTTCTTTTCAGCAGGCTAAGAAACATCACAGAAATCCACAACTGGTCAAAATGCAGAAAACAACTGACTGTGGGGTTCCCGTCTCTGATGGGTGCATCTACAGCATAACCCTTATACCTAAGGCGTGGGGAACACTGCAGAAAAGGGGGATGGAAGGAATGTAAGGACCCAAGGACCAGGATGTCTGCTACGAGATAGTGTCTTCTATCTATGACAGAGTTGCACCCATGAAACCTTTGTTTTTAACCAATGAATGCTTATTTATTAAGCCCACACATGGTAAGGGGTAGAGCTTGGAAATGCCTATCCCAGCAATGGATGATACACAACAGTCCTCACCCAGGACCACATCCTCACTCCTACTCTGTTGGGAGCATCTGAGACATCGTTTTCTACAATTACACAATATCCTGAGGGAGAAAGTGCAGTGGTAGTCTCAGCTGGTGGAAACTGCTTTGTTTTTCTTTCACACCCATGAATCTTAACAATATGGTTGCTTAAACACGACAGGCACAGTGTGACAATACCAGATGACATCCCAACATAGATGAGGGAATAAGTTTAACAAATGTAAAAGTACAAGAATATATGCAGAACATTTTGAACCATTCTGAAAACATAAAAAGAGGATGAAATACATGATTTTAAAAAACATTACCCATGCCGGGCAATAGTGGAGCACACCTTTAATCCCAGCACTTGGGAGGCAGAGGCAGGTGGATCTCTGTGAATTCAAGTCCAGCATGGTCTACATGAGCTAGTTCTGGGACAGCTAGGGATACACAGAAACCCTGTCTCGGAAAGAAGGAAAGAAGGAAGGAAGGAAGGAAGGAAGGAAGGAAGGAAGGAAGGAAGGAAAGAAAGAAGGAAAGAAGGAAGGAAACTTTACCTTGGTGCCTTAACATTTCAAAGACATCATTTCTCCTGATAGTAAATTATAAATTTAATCAGGCCTATTAATAATCTTATGAAGTTAGGTAAGTTGACACTAAGCTTCATGGGGAAAAACACATTTAAGAGTAGCCAAGAAAACCCTAGAGGGGAAGCCCTATAAGACATTAGCACACACTGTAGTGCCCCTGGGGTTCAGGTAGCATGGAACTGCAGCTGGAATAGATTAGTGACTGGTGGGATGGAAAGAAAAATCCATAATTAGACTCCAGCATGCATGGGGACTTGTTACAGGATGAAAATGGCATCTCGGATCACTATACTTTAAACAAATATCAGTGGGGTAACTGAAGAGTCATGTATTTGAAGACAAACATGGATATGTACCTCACACCCTACACAAGAGTAATCTGAGACATCTAAATGTAAAAGTTGAGGCCAGGAAAGCATCAGAGAGAAAGCATGAGAAATGGCTTTCTGACTGTAGCTTACACTCATCATCGTAAGCAAAGTTAGAAGACAAAGGACCATGTGGGAGAGCATATTTATAGCATCCTTCTCTGCAGAGACAACGCCTTAAAAATGATAGTATGAAGCTATAATCGTATCTCCTAGGAGATGGAAGCAGAAGGATAAGAAGTTCAAAATCATCCTTGTCTATATACCAAGTTTGAGGCCATTTGGGATATAGAAAACCCGTCTAGAAAGCAACAATGGGAAACAGGTAACCAGAATCCCAACAGAACAATTCATCAAAACTCAAAATGCAAAAGAAGTTCTAAACATAAAGTGATGTTCAAGCATAACTCTAATTACTGAGATGCAAATTAAGACATCTATTCTCACCTGCCAAACTTACAAAAACTGACAGCACATTCTGTTGGCGAAGAGCATAGGAAAACAGACTTTCAGACATCCGTGGCTGGGATGCAAACTGGTACAGCCCATATGGAGGGAATTTTGTCAAAAGGCCTATCGACATTTGACCCAGCAATCCCATTTCTAGAAAACTGCTACCCTACAGGTACAACTCCAGTGATAAAAGGATGTCCATTGCTTCTAACTGCACAGCACTGAAAACACCTCACCATTCACACATGAGAGATGGTTGGATAAGCATGACATATCAGCACAACGAAGTGCTATGTCGTTCTGAAAGAGAACTGGGAAGAGCTAGCTCTGTGAACAAATCTGGAGGGTTTCCAAGATGTACTGTGTGTATGTGTGTATACATAGATGTTCATGTATATATAGGTACATGTTTGTGTGAATGTATGTTAAGTGCATGTAGGTGGAGGCCAAAGGATAACCTCAGGTGTTGTTCCTTGGGTGTTATTCACCTTGTTTGTATGTATGTGTGTTTGTTTGTTTGTGAGAGTGCCTCAGGTGCCTTGAACTCATCAAGTAAGCTAAGCTGGCTTGTTAGCAAGTCCCAGGATATCTGATCATCTTTGCCTCTTCAGTGCTGGGAATACAAGTGTGCACCAACAGATGTGGTGGCATACAATCTTAATCTGAACATTCAAGAAAGATCTCTGTAATTTTGAAGCCATCCTAGTTTACATAGCAAACTTCAGGATAGTCAAGGCTGCATAGTGAGACCTTACTTCAAACAAACCAACAACAACAAAAACCAAGTGTGTACCACCTCTGGTGGTCTCTGATTCTTTGTCAACAGAAAAATGAATTGTTTGCATGATCAACAAGACCTACTTAGTCTTCTTATTGGTGTTTCACTCTAACTGTTGCAGTGAAATTGTGCATACATAGAGATGAATGAGTTGTATCTTACCCCCCTTTGCCGACTCTGTTATTCACAGATGCAGATGGTGATATATCAGGAAACTGTCAGACACTGTCAGGCAGGGAGGAGCAAGAGACAGTGTGGAGATGCTGAGACGCTAGCCAGCTTCCCCGCTCTGAGTGACAGCAATGAATCTGTATTTTCAGTTGCATGAATGAAATCGTGGGTGCTTTCCCACTTAGCCAGTAACTTTGGGCATGTTGATGATGTTGGTATGTCTCATTTCAGGAATGACCATACCTGAAGAAGACGCTGATGTAGGCCAAGGCAGTAAATATTGCCTTGTGGCAATCGGGAGGCTCCAGGTGAGCAAATAAGTCTGTCTTTTCCATCTTCAATGAGGGCTTGTACTGCAGGGGACAAGAGACTGAGTCTGGATGCCTCTTCATCTGGAACTCCTGTGTGCTCAGCATTTTCGGGGCTCTGTGTCTTACTCTGGGTCAAATATAAGGTTAAACCTGAAGATAAAAAAGGGGACTCAAGGAGGGGATACACCACAGAGGCCTCGCTGTGCTGGGGGTTAGCAGACCTCTCCCCCATCTACACGTCACTGCAGACATGAGTTCTTCCTGAAGTCACATCCTTGCTAACCACCTTTAAAGTCTCCCGCAGGCCTCGTGGGACAACGTCCAAACACATCCTCCCACCCTCCCCTTCCCCTCTCTTCCCTTCTTGCCATCTCACCACATCCTCTCACCAAACCACATTTTCCCTTCTCGTGGCACCACCTCCGTGGCTGTTTGCAAGCTGTTTCTCCCACCTTGTGTTTCTCCGTTGCCATTCTGCTTTCAGAATTCCCTCTGCGTGCCTCCTGCCCTCTCATCCTTTGAGACCTAACCAAATGCCAGGCTCCTAAGTTCACACCAGGCTCTGCTTCCCGTTCTGTTCTCTCCTAACCCAGAGCTCTCACCTCTACGTCATCTGCATGCTGGTTTTCCGCGGTTAGGGAAGGCACGCTTGTGCCTGACACAGTCCTCTGGGGCAGGGACCCTGTCCTGTTAAAATTTAACTTGCTTGAGTCTGAAGAGATGGCTCAGTGTTAAGAGAATTGACTGTTCTTCCAAAGGACCTAGGTTCGATTTCCAGTACCCACGTGACAGCTCACAACTGTCTGCAACTCCAATCCCAGGGGGAATTGGTGCCCTCTTCTGGCCGCCACAGGCACCAAGCACACAGGTGGTACACTCATACACATTAAGTAAATAAATAAAACATACATTTAAATTTACTTGATATCTGATAATATACAGTAGCCACTCAGCCAACAGACTCATTCATTCTTCCATTGACATTTAGGGTGTTTTCCAAACGGATGAAGGGAGGCATGGTTGACACAATATGGAAGGCTCATTCATGTTTCATGTCCATGTTCTCCAAAGTCTGGCCATTCTCAAACAAATGAATAAGCAGTTCATTCATATAAAACAAACATTGGATCTTCACTGGGGTATAAAATGAGAATAGTTGGGTGAATTCAGTCCAGAAATACATACTTTTTGAGTCTCTACATCCATTACAGAGAGAAAGCTGAGAGGGGGAGAAAGTGGCAGCATTTGCTGAGCACCAGTCATTTGCCAGCATAGCAGGCAGTATCACAATTATGAATTGTAGTGATTCATTATTCCCACGGACTCATAAGGCGACAAATGCTCAGAAATGTAAAGAAATTTGGCCAAGCATTAATTAAATCCCCCACTGTCACCTTCCCAGTGACACAGAAGGATGTGTGAACTTCAAGCTATGTGGATTCTTGCCAGGTCCTCATCTGCATCTTTATCAACCCTCCATTCCAGGTGACCAGCTCTCCTGTGTGCATGGACATGAGTGGCATGTCAGTGCCCACAGAGTTCCTGTCCCGGCATAACTCTGATGGGATCATCACATTTGTGGACCCAAGATGCATCAGTGTGATTGGCTACCAACCCCAGGTCAGTGGCTAGCTCTGAGCTCCCAAAAGCTGGTGAAAAATTTAGCTTTACTCAAAATGTGTTTATCTTACTTTTGCAAGGTTCAGCACAATGACGTCTTGGAGAAATCATGTAGGAGTCTAGATTCCCTGTTTGCCTAGACTGACAACCTGTTCATCATGAGACAACACTGCTTTAAGGGGACTCATTGTCTTGCCCTAGCCTTTCTGTAGCTCTTGCTGAGTTTTTGCAAAGGAGGGGGAGCTGAGATCAGTTTATTTTAATTACAAAGTTTGTTTATGTCTGAGATCTGTCAAGATGCCCAAGGGATGTTGCTTAATCCTTTGGGAAACGTTTATATTTGGGGCATATTTTCAGGTCTTTGCTCCAGATCCTTCATCAAAAATCGGTGGCATGAGAAACTCAGAAAGGCATGAGTCACCCAGGTGAAGCCAAGGAACCACGACCACATGCTGTGTCCTAAACCTAAGGATCTCTGCCTAGAAGAGACACTTAGGGACAGGTGTGGGGAGTATGAAGATGTTAAACCTAAGGATCTCTACCAAGAGGAGACACTTAGGGACAAGTGTGGGGAGTATGGAGATGTTACCAAATGAGCATTTGAGTATTGATTTCTTAGAGGTGATCATGTTTTGGTTTTATTGTATGCTGACATTTATTATATTAATGCTAAAAAGCCTCTTGTGGAGAAGTGTTATAGGATCTCCAACTCACTGCCAAGTGATCTAATTAACACACACACACACACACACACACACACACACACCTCATCTACATTTGTGTGTGGACATCTATGAAGAAAAAGACAGAAAATATTGATAGCATATTGATAACTGAATCGATGTAATAGATATGCAGGTATTTATTATACATCCTGTTACCTTTTCTGTAGAGTTTTTAAGATAAAAAATTATTTAAAAAAAAGAAGGGGCTCTTTGTTCTAAGAAACAGACTTTAGAAAGCTTTGGGATGTGTTGTCATGAGTTATTTTAATTGCCTGTGTATTTTTCTTTTATTTACTTAACATTTTATCCATGCTGGAATCAGCCCTGGTTGAGACTAGGAACAGTCTCAACCAAAAGTACTAGAGACTTTCTATAATTCTGAAGCTAGATTCATGCAAAGTGTGGCCCCTCAGAAAGAATAAGGTAAATGTGGATGACTTTGACAGCAGTGCATTTCTGGGCAGACCCACGCCTTCCTCTTCAGCTTCCCCTGAGTGTCTGTGTGCTCCTGGGGCATAGGAACTGCCCTTGCTGCTGAGTCAGCTCACTCCCAGCATCGTGTGCTGATGCAGGTTCTCATCCCTGAGTTAGCTTACATCTTTTACTGTTTAAGACACTTCCCTAGAGCATGCTCAAAATTGCCCTTTGATGGGCTTTTCGTATTCTGCTCCCATTCACTGTAAAACACCAGAATTATAGAAGGCTGGATCTTTCAAATGACACATGAGTAGTGAAGGTCAATAATGAACTGGCTTGAGGCAAGCCCAGTTATTGTGGCCTCATTCAGCCACTAGTTTCTATCCTTGAACAGTTTTAGTTTTCGTGGGCAGCATGTGTGTCCTTGAACTTACTTTGGATGTTTTTAGAAATATGTTGATTGCAGTTTGCCTCTCCAAGGCAAACAGGAATAAAGTTATGTTGCAAAGCTGCTGATCTAGCGCCCAAGCAAAATTAGAAATCAGTGAGAAGTGAGCCAGCGGGGTTTAGAATGGATGCAAGGATGCCAACTCCTCAGTAGATGGGAGCGGGGGCATTTTACGTTTAAGACTGTGGTGGGCAGGCAAGAGGAGGATGGGAGTAAGAGATGGAGAATGGACTTTGGGCTCATTAAAGATGTCTGTCCCCTTTAGGACCTTCTGGGAAAGGATATTTTGGAATTCTGCCACCCTGAGGATCAGAGCCACCTACGGGAGAGCTTCCAGCAGGTATTGCCCATGGCTGCTGCTGCTGATGCCTAGTGAGTTACCTGGGGGTGGGGGATGGCGAGAGGGATGGATGCCTACCGTGAGCTACCAGACTGGGAATGCCCTCCTACAATGTCAGACAGCCATTCTGGGCAGGAGTTCAGCATGGAAGTAAGATATATGAGGACATCATTGCTATATAGCAGCAAAGGAGGACAGGCTATGAAGAGTCTCCCAAGTGCCAAAGCTAGAGAGGGTGACTTGAGAGCAGAGCCAGCTACCAGGAGAGGGATCAGCTGACGTGAGTTGTAAAGGGACAGTACGAAAGAAATGAGGGAACATGTCATACGGAGGGGCCCAGGCCAGACAAGCTGCTGCAGCCTTCCAGGAGGATCCTTAGCTCCTAGGGCTGACAAGGAGGAAGTGGCAGACAGTGAGACCAGTCAGTCCAGGTCTGAGGCCTCCTGCGCCGTGCTGTAGGGCCCCTGTTCTCTCCCAGGTCAAATAATGGTAAGTAGCAATTCCTCTGACTTTGTAAACAGAACAGAGCTTTGAAAAGCCACTTAGGAAGCCCGGGGAACACAAATAAATGAAAGTAAAGATAAATCAGGAGACCTCTAGAATGAGCAATGGGTCCCAGAGCTGTGCAGGACCCGTGAGAATCAGACATGGGAGACAACTTAAGTAGAGGATCATCCAGATGGGGAGAGTGGCGGAGAGGCAGCCTGGCAGAATGGTCACCATAATAGTGGCACTCCATGCATCGTTTCTACTTACTGAGAACACGCTGTGTGAAAGGCACCCATAGCACAGGCCACAAGAGTGCTGGTTCCTGGGGTGGTGGGGGGCTTAGGAGAGGCTCACTGAAGCAGAGGGCCAGAGTGTCACACTTCAGTGAGTTAGAGCTATTTCAGAATGATGCTCCTGAGCTAGCCTCGGAGGAGGAGAGAACTCACTCCAGTAGACTCTGACATACTCTGGGAAAAGGAGAATCTGGACATAAGGAAAGAGACCTCTGAGTCACTTTCCAAGAGGGAGGAGTCTGCTGTCATCCATCTGGAGGTTGGGCTTACTTTAGCATTTTGCTTTGCAAGTGTCTCAGGCACAGTCAGGGGAAGGCCTCTCCATCTGCAGAGCCCTGGGCCTCCAGCTTCACACCTACATGGGTGGCGCTCTGGGGCCCCTTCCTCCCTGATCTCAGTTCTATTCTTCCAATGTAAGTCCTTCCCACTTGTGGTTTCCTTTCCATTCCCTCACCCCGTTTGGTTGGCTTCTGTGAAGCCCGCTGTGAAGACAGGGTCTGACATCAACCATAGAGCTTCTTCCTCCTAAGCTCACATCCTGGATGGTAAGCTCACACACTGGATGGTAAGCTCACACACTGGATGGTAAGCTCACACACTGGATGGTAAGCTCACACACTGGATGGTAAGCTCACACACTGGATGGTAGGCTCACATACTGGATGGTAAGCTCACACACTGGATGATAAGCTCACATACTGGATGGTAAGCTCACAGACTGGATGGTAAGCTCACACACTGGATGGTAAGCTCACACACTGGATGGTAAGCTCACACACTGGATGGTAAGCTCACACACTGGATGGTAGGCTCACATACTGGATGGTAAGCTCACATACTGGATGGTAAGCTCACACACTGGATGGTAAGCTCACACACTGGATGATAAGCTCACACACTGGATGGTAAGCTCACACACTGGATGGTAAGCTCACATACTGGATGGTAAGCTCACAGACTGGATGGTAAGCTCACACACTGGATGGTAAGCTCACACACTGGATGGTAGGCTCACATACTGGATGGTAGGCTCACATACTGGATGGTAGGCTCACACACTGGATGATAAGCTCACACACTGGATGATAAGCTCACACACTGGATGGTAAGCTCACACACTGGATGGTAGGCTCACATACTGGATGGTAAGCTCACAGACTGGATGGTAAGCTCACACACTGGATGGTAGGCTCACACACTGGATGGTAGGCTCACATACTGGATGGCCCCCGCCAACTCATCCTCTAGCGTCCTGCCCGCCTCCTTCCAGGCAGCTCTTCGCCTCTCTGTCTCAGGACCCAGGGTCCTCCAAACCCAGCACACTGCCTCTTCTCTCAGCAGCCTTGCCCTCACACCACTCCCACCCAGTTGCTCAGGACAAAGCTCAGCATCCCTTAGGCACAGACCACATGACAGGCCCTCCTGGAACACCTTCACAAGATGCCACGGTGCCTCCCTGCTTTCTTCCGTCATCCATGCCCCCTCCTATCTGATGGTTACATATGTTCCCTTGCTGGGTCTCTGCCTCTGTTGTCATTTTACTCCAAGCCTTTGTAAAGGAAGGAAGGAAGGAAAGAAGAAAGAAAGGAAGGAAGGAAGGAAGGAAGGAAGGAAGGAAGGAAGGAAGGAAGGAAGGAAGGAAATGAAAAGAAAAGAAAAAGAAAGAGAAAGAAAAAACTGGGCTTAGTCACATGTCTCATTAAAACTTGCCAACAACAGTCCATGTATCTAGAGTGAAATACACATTTCTTCCCATAGCTTCTGGTCCTATTCCATGCTCCTTCAGACAAAATTCTTCAGACTCACTAGCTTCTCTTGCCTTCTTGAATATTCTCTTTCCCATTTTCTGAGCATGACTGAGCCATCCCCTGGCTAGAATACTACCCTCTACTCTTCACATGACTGATATCTTTCAACTCATGTCATCCATGAGATCTTACCAGTGACTAAGAAAGAGGTCCAAACGTCCTTCACTCCTTTTTTCTCCTTTTCCGTGTGTCATTTCTCTTGTCCACTTCATCTTTTTTTACCTCCTTCACTGCAACCTGTGGACAGACCCCATGCCTATGCTTGTGGGCATCATCTCCATGCGGGTAGATTTGAACCAAGCTACCTAAGCAGACTAGAACTTGCAGCAGGTGACTCCCTTCCATTTGGGGATAATGTGCTTTGTGCCATATTTGCTACATGTGTGGATGTGAGGGTAACTTTGCCTGGCCAACTTCAGGCACTGTTGGTTTCATCTTTCTGGGTGCATGAATGTGCATCTCTCCTGGTGATGGGCCTGTCATCCTGTTTCCAGAAACTATTTAGATCCTTCTTCATGTGTCCCCAACCGTACCCCATGAATACTGTCATCATGTGTTTCCTAGTAGACAATGGGATAAGAAAGTTTTGAGTGTCAACTAGCACCACTGCCATCATGATGAATCGAGTCTAAACAGAAAGAATGGGTGTGAAGGAGGAGCCTGCTCTAAGTTTCTTCTGTTTGACCACTTGGCACACTGACTGAAAAGGGGATTCTGGGGCGGATAAACTTTTCTGGCCCCTGGGAACTCTAAACTCAGACCTTGTGTGTGTTCCATGGGCTTCCTGTCTGGGCAGTTCAGTGCTTTTGTTTAAAACCAGAGTTCAAGGGCTGACTCAGCTTTCTTAAGAACAAACCACTTCCCTTTATCAACATTGGTCCTCCTTCATTGTTGGTGGCCAGTGCCCAAAGAACACAAACTCAGGCCAAGTCTGGGTGTGCCTTGGGATGTCTTTATGGCTGTACAGTTGCTGCCCATGTGTCCTGGACCTGAGCCAGGACATCCACCTCTGATGCCACAACCTTGGTTTCCCTTTCACTAATGGGATGAGGTAGATAGTCTCAATACAAGTTATTGAAGTTGCCTTATCAGGGTGAGGTGAGATGTTCAACTCCTTTTTCTTTTCAAACCTCCTAAGTTCTCGAGGCATCTGTAGTTTACATAGTCAAATATGACACAGGATAGAGTGGAGCCCAGGTGAGATGTGAGTAGATCTCTGGAGGCCCTGATCTTGCTGTTATGACCCAGGACAGGATGGATGGATGGCAGGTGATGGTGACAATGATGATGGTTTATGGTCATCACTGATGTTAACAGTGATGATTATAGTGGTAGTGATGGTGATAATGATAATGACTATGACAATTATAATGACTATGGGGCGGTATTGGTGGTGATTGTGATAATGATGGCGATGGCAATAGCTGTGGTGATAATAGTGATTGTGGTGGTGATGATGATGGTGATAGTGGTGGTGGTAATGATGATAGTAATGATCATGATGCTAAAGATGATGGTGATGGTAGTGATTATGACAGGTGACTGTGAGGTTATGATGGTGATGGCAATAATTGTGGTCGTGATGGAGACTAGTGTGATGATATTGACAATAATTGTGAGGTGATGTTAATAGTAACGATTGTAATGGTGATGATTGTAATAGGAATGATGGGGGTGAGGGTGATAATGGTGATAGTAATGGTGGTATTTTGAATAAGAACGGCCCCCATAGGCTCATGTATTTGAATTCTTGGTCATTAGGAAGTCCTGCTACTTGACATGGATTAGGAGGTGTGGCCTTGTTGGAGTAGGTGTGACCTATTGGAGGGAGTATGTCACTGGGGGTGACCTTTGGGGTTTCAAATGCTCAAGGCAGGCCCAGTGTCTCCCTCTTTACCTGCTGCCTGTGGTTTCAAAGATAGAGCTCTCAGCTACTTTCCAGCACCATGTCTGCCTTATTGCCACCATGCTTCATGCCAGGATGATAATGAACTAAACCTCGGAACTGTAAGCAAGCTGGCCATAATTAAGTGTTTTCCTTTATAAGACAGTAGTGATGGTGATAATTAAGGTTATGGTAATGGTGATGATGGGGATGGTGATGATGATGATGGTGATGATGATACCCATGTTTTCATGAAGACCGAAGCTAAGCTAGGTTTTATTATCTTTGCAGTCTTTTGTGTTACTTGCCCCACACTTGAGTGAAGCACAGTAGGATGCATCACTCTGGACTTAGACCTGGATCATATTGACACCCTGCTGACATACGTAGTTCAATCCCCCCCGTCACGTTTCAGCTTTCTTGCCTACACACGGCTGCTTTCTGCAAGGAGAGCCAACAGTCTCATTTGCCAGCATCACACCTACCCTCCAACTCTTTCAAAAACTTCATTTCCCTTCTGGAACCCTTCATTCAAGTCAGAACATCAACAATAGGTCCCAACTCCTAGCCCTCCTAGTAAGCCCCTGCCAATTTGATTGTGAGTTTGTAGCAGATTCTGCTGGGTGACAGGTACTTTGGAATAAAGCATTCACCATGGCAATGGGGACTCTAGACTGGGTGTTAAGGTTGTTTAAGCAAGGATTCAGACCATGCTCTTCCTTGCCTGTGGTGACAAAGCCTCAGCAGGTGTCTATCAGCTCTGAAGCTCATGTTCCTAATACACTCCCCTTGGGTGCAATTTTCTTTCAAAGCACCACACTGGGGGTGGGCTTTGAGGTTTCAAAAGCCCCTCCCTTTCTCCCCCCACCCTTCTCTCTGCTTGTGGATCAGGATATAACTTTCAGCTACTTCTCCAGCACCATGTCTGTCTGCTGCCATGCTCTCTGCCATGACGATAATGCATTAAGCCTCTGAAACTATAAGCTCCTTACATGTGCTTTGCCAAGACCCATGGTATCTCTTCACAGCAGTGGAACAGTGACTAGACATGGGCCAGCTTTCTATGAGTCAGCATCCTCTGAGCAGGCCAGCTCTACCTCACCCCCAGTGGTGACAAAGAAGATCTCTGTCTCTTCCAGCTTTCTACCTGGCTCTTTGATCACTCATTTATTTCTGAAGAGGGTCTTGTCTGATACTCTGCAGAGACAGTGGGGGAGAAGTCACCTGGCTGCTTTTGCTCCAGTCTGGGATGACCACTGCCATGAAGCCAGCTTGTGAGATATGCTATAGGCACTGGGCTGGGCTATGTGAGCCTCAGCTCACCATGTCCCCAGGCTCTGTGCAGTGTGGTAGAAACTGCAGACTCGCAGTGGGCAGCAGGATGCAAATGCAATAATGTTAGGAGGAGTCTGACCTTGCCAGCCTCTAGAATCTGGCCCTGCTCTTGTCAGCAATCCATCTGAGATCACACCCAGGAAGACTGAAGACTTCCGTTTCCGGGATGTAAGGCTGTGCTTGCCTACAAAAAGGACTTCTGCTGGCCTTACCTTGTCCTTGGGGACAATCACAGCCAGGCGAGGTCTGTTGGTCCTTCCTATAGCTTCTCTCTCTCCCACTTCTTTCTCTTTGTGAGACCAACACCTGGATGCTTCCAGCTGCCAGTGGGCGGATGTCTTTGCACACCTTTGTATTGGGTGAGTGAACAGAGGAAAAAAAAAGCAAGCTGTCCCCAGAGAGATGAGCTTGTAACTTGGACATAAGATCATAGTTCCTGTCACCTCTTTGCCACCAGAGCTGTCTTGGAGAACTTAATTAATTTCTTTGCATCCTGGTATTGTCATATTTAAATAGTGAAGCCACCAGACCTTTGCTGGGCTACACTACAGGGTGTCCATGAAAGTACATTGGAAACCATGCCGCAACATGAAAGTAGGGGCAGATCAATACATACACATAAATAATGCATACAGACCTACCATTTTATTCCACCTCCTTCCTGAGAGTTTGATTCATTTTACAATGTCAAACAGAGGTTAAAATCTTATGTGAATTAAGCCCATCTAAGAAATGAGTCCATGATGCATTGTAGCTGCATACCTCTATGAGACAAGCTACTCCAAAGAATACTAGCATCTAATCCTAATGAAGCCCAAGGGGGGAGAAAAAAAAAAGAAAATGAAGAAATACAGCTCTTATGGTGTGCTCACCATCTGATTTGTATTCACTGAATTAGAAGCATTGACTGTTACTGGTCCCTCACCCGAGATGGCAGAATGACCCGAGGGCAGTGCCCTCCCTGTTTCAAGGGACGCAGATGAAGTGAGAGCTTAGCTTCTACCTGTCACTCTTACTCTCGTAGCCCCCCTTGCTGTGGTTGGAAGCAGCCCGCCTATTCTGAGGTCCTGCTGGCCTTCTCAGCAACCGGCCACACTGCCTAGCCATTCCTCTTCCTCCTCCTGCTGACTTCCTTGTCCAAATGTTTTTGCAGGTGGTTAAGCTGAAGGGCCAAGTGCTGTCGGTCATGTATCGGTTCCGCACCAAGAACCGGGAGTGGCTGTTGATCCGTACCAGCAGCTTCACCTTCCAGAACCCCTATTCCGATGAGATCGAGTACGTCATCTGCACCAACACCAACGTCAAGTACGTGCACAGCCCCCTCTTCCGCTGGTTATTCACATAGGAGTTGCATCCTGAGCTGCTTTGCTTGAGGCTCGCTTCTCCCACGGCCTCTAGCTGCAGTCCAAAACCCCTACAGGGTGAAGGAGGAAGAAAAGGGGAGATTCTGGGTCCCTGTTACTGTGGGGTACATGCATCCCTCCCATGTCAGGTCAGGGTACCAAAGTCTCCATTCTGTTCTTTTCCTCGTGACACCAAGCCAAGCAGAGAAGAGCTCGCCAGTGCCCACCTCCGCATCCTATTATGCTGTCCACTCCTGGTCCTGCTGGAGCTAGTGGGTGGAAGAAGGGGACTGGGCTTCTTGAAGCTCTGGCCAAGGTCAGGCAGTTGTTGCAGCACCTAGGACCACCACCTAAGTACCCCTACTCCTGGCCCAGGGCCCCTACTTTTGTACTCATTCTATATCCGTGGAATTGGCAGATAGACCTGAGTTCTCCCTTGGCTTTGTAATCTCACATAAGTCACCTCCTCTCTTACCCATAGTTTCCTCTTCTGTGACATGGAGTGATGGCCCTCTTTTTGTGTGTGTATGGGCATGGGCATGTATTTGGAAGCCAGGGGCTGATATCTGAAGTCTTCCTTAGTTGCTCTCCCTTACCTGTTGAGATGGAGTCTTCTACTGAACTTGGAGCTCACAGGTTTGTCCAGGCTCGGAACCAGTACCTGCTTCCCAGTGCTGGGATCACATGAGCACCGCTGAGCCTGGATTAATTGTCTACATGCATGCTGGGAATCCAACACAGCTTGTCATGCTTTACTGACTGTGTCACCTCCCCATCCCATGGCCCCTCCTTTCCAGAGATAAGCTTAGATCTGTGGGACAGACTTGTGGACCTCAGTGCCTTCTATATGCTATAGCGAGCATGGCTGTGGGCAGGAGTTGCCTCTTCACATTAAATATAGAGGGAATACAGATGAAATCTGATTACAGATGCTTCCGTTTACACTATTTCGAGCCTTTTTTTTTTTGAGACAGGGTCTTACTTTGTAACCCTGGCTAACCTAGACCTCACTATATAGGCAAAGCTGACCTAGAAGTCTCAATGGTCTACCTGCCCCTCCATTTTCTGAAATTTGACTTTACTGTGTTGTGAAAGTGATGCACATTTAAGGGAAACCAAGCATTGGACTTGAATCTGCTCCTTCCCTATGCTGGCAATGTTCTACAGGATTCCAAGCTGTTGCCGTAAGCGGCGGCTGCACTTAACCACACATCCCTGAGAGAAAACAGCTCTCACTCTAGCATGTGTTGCTAAGCTTGAAGCCATGAGTTCGGGACACTGATGCTTTTTTGGTTGGTAATACCACACAGTTATGCTAGGTTCATCAGGTGTAACCCTGGTGTGACCTACAGGACATCTATCTGTACCCAGAAAGGAACATACACGTGCAGACACGTGGACACAAAGGTGTCCCAGTGAGCTAAAGCACCTGGAAGCCAGGTCTAGGATGAAAAGGATGTGGCATGAGGCTGACATACTGCTCTTGTGTCAGCCGCTCATGGCATTGGACCTCCCGACCTCCGTTTCCCGTTTCAGTCAGGGTTGGTCCTGAGCCCATGACCTTCTTGTCCCCATCTCCTGATACCAGGGGATCCTTCTAAGGACCTACCCTGCCTCTCCATCAGAACATTTTTTTTGTCCAGGCCTTGTTGAGTCACTGCTGCCATTCAGTTTGACCCAGCCCCTTGCAGCCTAGCTCTCACGCTAGCCCAACAGCTGCCAGCATGCCGTCTGGAGCACAGAACTCTTGCTCCCAGGTACTTTTCCCTCAGCTGTCTTCTGGACCAGCTTTCCTTCTAGACATCTTCTCCCTTTCTGTAGTTGGTACAACTGGATTCTTCTTCTACCCCATCTGCTGGTCAACCCTGTAAATGGAATAGAAGAAATAGGAGAATCCATAGATCCAGATGGGCAAAAGATGATCTTATCTCAATTTTCTATGTCTTCTTCTTTGTCTTGGGTTTTTGATCAGATTGAGGGTGTTCCATTTCTTCCACTCAATGCCACAATGACCACAGAGACCAGTGATGCACCCTTGAGTATCTAGTCCTAGGTCTGACTAAAATAATGAAGGTTGAGAAATGGGAACAGAGCCAAGCATGGGGCCAGGGAAGTCCTGGTTGCTGCTGTGTTAGAGGTCTAAGTGGCTATGAGCGGGGTTCTGAGGTGCTTACAAACTGGGGGTACCAGGTCCTTGTCAGGAGAGAGATAAGAAGGACAGTGCCAGCCCTGTCCTGCTTAGCACCTGTGCAAGCCAGATCTCTGCCCTTAGGCTTGTCTCTCCCAATATGGCTCCATACTTGCCAATTTAGGCTGCCTAGCCAAGTACTCATAGAAATAGACAAACACACCAACTACTCAGAGTCCTGGACACTGTTCTAGAATCTTCCTCCTTTGGATGCCAACAGGTTGGCTGGTCGTTAGGGAAAGCCACCTCCTCTCTGGATTCTGCCTCCTTCTCTGCCCCTCATCTTTCTTTGTTCCTTTACAATACAAAGTTGGGTACACAGGCCTATAGACAGCAGGGGCCCTGAGGTGCCTACTCCCTGTGGGTGAGGTTGTTTCCTGCGCTTTGAGGGTGCCATCTGTGCTGAACCATCAACCCTCATTCTCCCTGTCAATGAAGCTGCTTCTGTCCCACATCAGAGTCACCCTGTCATAGTAACAGCCCTGATCTTGGCTGTGCACTCAGCAGCTTTCTAGATTTGGGTGAAAGAGCAGAATGATGCTCCTTGTTGGGGGAGGCTTGTCACTCTTCCAGTCTTTATAAACCTGCTGTCAGAGTCACATGTTTGGCCACAACTAATGAAGTTTATACTCCCTGATCACCATGACCGGACATGTCCTGTGCCAGTCAAGTTGCCTGCATTACCTTTCGTATTCTTAGGGGGGAACTTGGTACCGGGAGGTCTAAGGCTTGGGCTTCAAAACCATGAGAACATGGGTAGGGAGGGACAGGAGACAGAGGACAGTGGACAATACAGAGCATGAAGAGGACAAAACCAGTCCCCCAGGAGGCAGCCCTGACATGAGGCCTGGAAGCAAGGTCACTCTCCTCTGCAAGCCAGCCCCAGCTGAGAGGGTTGGCCTTCCTTTCTGAAAGGCAGGCAGTGTTGTGAAGACAGAAAAGCGGTTTGTTCCGGGGTGGGCCATCCTGCTGACCCAGGCCAGTCATCCTCAGCAGGTCCTGGAGGTTGTGCAGCTCCATGAGACACCTGCAACAGCTGCGGCCACAGGACATCAGGTTTCTAAGCCAGGTGTTCCATGGCAGACTGAGAAGCTCACTGAGGACGGTAGAGGGCAGTGCTGGCCACACATGTGAGCAGACAGCCTTTCTTGCATTCGAGAGGTCAGCTTTGCCAGCAGATGAGCCAGCTAGTTAGGAAAGATCCTCCAATGCCCTGTGCTTGCTTGGCGGGAGGAGGAGGGGGAGTTGCTTTCGGTAGCCTTCAGCTGAGAGCATCCAAAAGCAACTTCCTGAAGAAGTGAAGCAAGCACTGGGTGTTTAGCATTTGTGCTAAGCTACTGAAAAGGCTCTTTGTCACCCCTGACTACCTCCCGTTCCCTCCACACAGATGGAAGCCCAGAAAAACACACTGATGCAACACACTGGGTGCACATCTCTGAGCTGTGCCAAGTCTTGGTTTTAGGGAATTGATTCTCTGAGAGACCAGTCCCGGGCTGACTAGGTATCATTCATGTTCATCTTTCCACATTTGCTCAGCCTCCCTCCCTGACTTTCATTTCCCTACCCCTCATCAGGGGACTGACACACAGTTCTCCTTGGGCCAAGCATTAATTTGAGCTTGTTTCAGGTTTTCATGACACAAGTTCCTGGTGTGTGTGTACATGCACATGTACATGTGTGCATCCATGTGTGTGTATTCATGAGTACAGATAGATGTATGTGTCCTGTGTGAGTACAAACACGAGTTCTTAAAGTCCCACCATACCCAAAATCCAGCTGGTCAATGGTCGTACATTCTTTGTGATAGCAGTGGTCACCTGCTTGGTAGTAGGTGGGAACTGTGGAGGAGTGGATGCAGAAGGAAGCAGGAGATTGTATGCTATCTCTGCAGCAGTTAGAGTGCAAACTGTAGCCCCAGAGCCTACGGAGCATGCCCAGGAGGCAGCCTTGAGTTAGTTCTGGAAGCAAAGGCACTATCCTCATCTGTCTTCCTGGCTGGAGCTGCCTTTCTGCAAAGCAGGCACAACCTCCGACCAATGAAGGGCTGAGACTCTTCCAGTTCCCGGCTCCAAAGCCAAGGATCGTTTTGGTCCCTGCCTCTACTTCCTCTTGGAGGAGACCCTGAGAACCAGGACTCCAGGTACTTCTCAGGACCCTAGCACACTTCCTCCTCTGCCCCTGTAGAGGCCTTGGTAACCTCTTAGGTGATGGTCACCTTCATCAGGCCGCTGTCGAGACAACCCACATGGCCATTTCTGTAAACAGACAGACATTTCCTACCCTGACCAAGTCAACGCCAGGTGTCCAGAGGGCAGAGGGAAAAGTACAAGGTCCACAGCCCTGCAGAATTGAATTTGAGTCCCTTCTTTGCTTCATTCTAGCTGGGTAAACTACTTAAGCTTGCTGAGCCTCATTTCCATTATCTGATAATTGATAGTATTATATTGTAAATATAAAAATGTTAGCCAAGCACTGGTGATCTATCTGTCTTCAGTTCAGATATTAGCAGCCTGCCAGTGAGCCATCATGCTTCCCCAAGATGCACGGGAAACAAAGTCGATAATGGAGTAAGAACAAGGAAGGACAGTGATGCTTCTTTTATAGTTATGATTATATTGATTCTTTTAAAAATATTTAAGAAAAGGTCTCATGTTGCCTGGGCTGACCTTGAATATAACTACCGATTCTCCTGCCTCCGTATCCCTAGTGCTGGATTACAGGTACTGGGAATTAAGCCTACAGTTTCATGCATGCTTGGCAAGCACTCTGTCAACTCCATTACATCCTAACACTCTCTTTAAAGTTTTTGAAATCTCAATTGGTTTTGAAAATTGTTCTTGGTGCTCTGCTTTGCTGATGTGAGAGGCACGGGCTTCCACTGTCTGGTGAGACTTCACTGTCTGGTGGGACTTCACTGTCTGGTGGGACTTCACTGTCTGGTGGAACTTCACATGCCTCCAAGTCCATCCTTGCCTTTGTCCCTGGGCTCTTGAACCACAGTGAGAAATCCTTCACTCCCTTGGAACCTTCTTCTCATCTGTCCTCCCCTGGAGACCCAGCTCCACCAGAGCAGGAATCTGGGAGTTGTGAATCATCAGAACTGGACTTGGGTATGGGGGTTTTCTTTGCCTCAGCATAGTTCACTGAATGGACTTTTGAGTTTGATTCCCAAGGAGCTGCTCAGCAGGGCCACCAACAGAGCCTCCTCACTGGGGTATCTAGAACTGAGTTCCTTACACTCGGCCTTGTTTGTAGCATCTGAGTTGTGGGCTTTGCTGTTTCCTGAAAGCAGTCCAGTCTCCCTATTTTAAAACAGGAAGCATCTCCTTACTTTAAAATCTGGCTTTTCCCAGAACCCCAGCAAGACAGCCTGGTAGCGTAGGAGGAGCCTGACAGAGTGGGAGGAGCCTAGAAGAGTAGGAGGAGCCAACCACCTTGGACTTACCCTGAAGTCAGATCCTGCTGTACTCTAAGCAGAACATCTCTGACCTAACTTTAGCCTTCCGCTCCAGCTTTCTTGACTTTAGCTTGTGGATGAAATAACCTCCATGAGAATCCAGTGTGAGGCACGAATAAGAAAATGTACGCTCCAATGGCAGGAGTGCACACTACAATCAGCAGCTTTGAAGTGCTAAACCAACTGCTTTCCTGAATTTTGCTTTTTAAACAATTTCAGTACTGTGGTTTTTTTCTACCCTGCATAAAGCAAAAGTCATTTGAAGAAGCTTATTGTCTGAGCCAGGCATGGCAGTGCCTGTCTGTCCCCCTAGAGGTGGAGAGGCTGGATCAGGAGGATCAAGAGTTCCAGGCCAGTCTAGGGTGCACACCAAGACCCTGTCTGGGATTAGAATGTGAAGCTAAGGAGATGGCCCAGTGGATACAGCAGAGTACAAGCACGACAGCCTGCGTTTGCATCCCCAGCATCCATGTGAATAGCTTAGCATAACCGTGGAGCTACTGGGGCAGGAACAGGTGGATGCCTGGAGCTCACTGGCAAGCCAGTCTAGCTAACTGGTGAGCTCTGGGTTTGGTGAAGGACCCTGCCTCAAAGGATAAGGTGAAACACAACTGAGGAGGACTCCTGATGCCAGCCTCTGGCTTCTACATGCGCATACACACACCCACAGAACACACCACACACACACACACACATACACACACACACACGCACACACACACACACACACACACACACACACACACACCTTACCTTACCTTTTCAACAGCGCGTGTAGAAATACAGGGGTTGGAGTAAAATAAAAGTGGAAAGCCTTTTAGAGATCTGTTGATCATGGGCTACGTGGTGACTTTGAGGAGTGCGATTTCTACCTTAGTCCCACTGACCCCAAATTTCTGTTCCTCACACTTTGTTGACTTATTGTTTCACAGGCAGCTTCAGCAACAGCAGGCAGAACTGGAGGTTCACCAGCGAGATGGGCTGTCATCGTACGATTTATCTCAGGTGAATTTCTGGAAAACTCTTTTCTGTTTGGCACTGAGAGGACTGAAAATTAACTCACCCTAGAATCCCCACTCTAAACTAAACTAAACCAAACTAAACTAAAACTACACACATTCCCCACATCCCAAGGCACTCTGTTCCATTCAGCCTCGAGGGTGCTAATAGTATTTGGTCCCTATTGTCCCTGTAGCTCTTCCTTCCTGAAGTGAGACACATGGAGCAGGAAGTAGGTCGAAAGCAGATGATGAGCTATGGTCGGCCCACACTGTGTATCTCTAGGGACAGTGGGAAATCTCAGCGTGGACCTCAGTCTCACAGGTGCAGCCAGCAAATGCAAGCTCTGGACTTGGGTTCTCTGGCTTCCTAGCCATCTCTCTCACCTTTGCTCCCATGCCTGTTTTGCTTTAACATTTCTCTTCCTATCATACTCTGTGTCTCTCCTTTCTTCCTCTGATCTCCTGTGGTCCCTCATCTCTCCTCCTGTCTCTGTTCCTACTTCTGACAGCTGGCCATCAGGGAAACTGACATGGGTTGGCACCTGACCTTATTCCCAAATTAACCTTTAAGCTCTCTTCCTGATGATTATAATGGGTTGGTTCTTTTACATCAGTCTCTAAGAAAGTAGCCATTGTGACTCTGGTGTTCTTCCTGTAACCCCTAGTTCACACCTCCAACCCGGGTGCCCTTGATCTTCCTGGATAAGTTCCCAACCTTGCAAGAATAGTCAAGTGTTGAAATACTAGCTCCTCCTCCCAGAAGGACTAAGCAAGGGACAACATGTGACTCTTGGAAAGAGCGCCTTATGTGTGGATTGTCATTGTGTTTTTGTGCCAACAGGTCCCTGTACCCAACCTACCTGCCAGCGTTCACGAGGCAGGGAAGTCTGTGGAAAAGGCAGATACAATCTTCTCCCAAGAGAGAGACCCCCGTTTTGCTGAGATGTTTGCAGGCATCGGTGCGTGTAAGTGGCAGACGGTGCTAAGTCATGAGGCTGTGGGTTGCAGTTGCTTTCAGACCATCTGGAGAAAGGGGCAGGAAAGGTGACTTTTGTGTAACTGCCACAGGACATAAGAACCCTGTACAGGAGTCAGGACAGATTCTCTGTATTCCTGTCCTCGCCTCTTACTTCCTCATCACCTCTGACACTCAGCCTCGGGTTGTGGCATCTCATCTTTACAATGTAAAGGGTCAGAGCAATGGAGTCTAATCCATTAGGCAATGCTTTTGTCACCGGTCAGACTTCACCACTGTAACAAAATACCCCCCCCCAAAAAAAACAAAAAGGGAAAGAAGGTTTTTTTGACTCAGAGGAGAAACTTAGAAAAATCACAGAAATTTCAGAACGAATATAAAGATGGCAAGAAAACATGAGTATCGAGGATGATGAGTCAAGATGATAGTCAAGGACTACAGATCGATAAGCCCCAAGTTGACATGCTGTCAAAATTCAACATAACCAGAACACAATGAGATAAACTAGTGAGTCCTCAGGGGTGAGTGATGAAGATGTTTTCGAACCCGAGCAGGGAAGTAGAGTGACAGTGTCACCAGAGATGGACTTCAGAATGTCCCTGTGAGCAGAGGACATAGAGCCTGAACTAGCTATAAATCTCATGAACTTTTAAAAACAGAAAAGCCAAAAAAAAACTATTAACACAGGAAGAAACTGATTTTTAAAAAAAAGCAGAACTCAGAATGCCTTTCCTCATTTTTAACAAATCAGGTAGATAGAAATAATAAAACAGGGAAAGATTTAGAAGACTAGATAATATATATGCATATATATTAAAATGTATATATATGATTGTGTCTACATATACACATACAAACATACATACTTTATAAGTGCTATACCCTACCAAAATCCCAGAACATACATAGAACAATGTGTTTATTATTTGCCACCAAAACACATGAGAAGAAAAGTGACTTGCATACAGTCAGCTTTTGTAGTGCTGGTTGACCTGTCTGTCTGTCTGTCTGTCACTTGTTTTGTGTGGTGCTAAGAATGGAAGAGATAGGCGAGAGCTCTGCCACTCAAGCCACACCACCAGACTTTGTGAATTGTTTATAGACAAGATGGCGCCCTGAGTCTTCTTTACACTGTACGATTTAGCCTTGTCTCCTCCCCTCTCAACTCTTGCTCTTCACGCCCCACCCTCAAGGCCTTGCGATTAGACTGCAGACCGAGCTCCTGCCCCTTAAGGGTGTCCCCATAGATGCACTGTGACAATGGCTTTATGTAGAGCCCCACACAGAGATAGAAGCAGGATACTTGGTTCCTGTGTGGTCTCCCAGCCCCAGGCTACAGCCCATTACTGCTCACACCCACCTGGCAAGCTGGGCTCGGGGAGGGTATACATGCTGCAGTCACTGCCGTGCATCCGGCCTTGATTTCCATCCTTCCCATGTCTTGAGAGTGATTCTGTAGTTGAACATGTAGGCATCACGATACTCTAGGGCAGTGGTTCTCAACCTTCCTAATGCTACAACCCTTTAATACAGTTCCTCATGTTGTGGTGTCACCACACCATAAAATTACTTCATTACTACTTTGTTAATTGTGAGTTTGCTACTGTTATGAATCACGTTATGCAGGATATCAGATATTTAATGTGATACAAATATCTGATACGCAGACTCCATGGAGGGCCAAGACCCACAGGTTGGGAACCACTGCTCTAGGGCCGCAAGTGATGCATCGTGGAGCCAGGGGAGGGGTGCGCTCTGGTTGACACTCTGCTGTCTAGACGCTGCATCCATTCACCGTCCATTTCTGCTTCTCGTGTCACCACCGAGAACACCTTCCTTCTTATGTGAGATCCAGACAGCCTGACCGTGACCAATCCTCTCAGCGCGTCTCTGCAGGTGACCTGCGGGAGCGGTCTTCTCACCTAGCCCGGGTCTGAGTGTTCCCTGTCTCATGAGGTGCCCCGTCTGAGACCCTGGAGGAAAGCCAGGCAATATCGTCCAACTGTCCTGGCCAGTCAGTCCGAGGCGCCCCTCAGCACCTGCTGGTCAGGTCGGGGAGGGGCCACTGGACTGGGATTCAAGTTGGGTCCTCCCTTGATGTCCTGTGACCTGGGACAAGCAGTGCCTTGGTTTCTCTCATCTGTAAAAGTGAAAGCAGATGTGTAAACTGTTCGTTGTTTTTCCCAGCTCAGTAAACATTTTATTCACACTAACACACAGAATCCCCACCCCACAGCCCTGTGAGAGACACTGCAGTCATCTTCCTCTTTCAGGTGGAGAAACTGAGGCAGGGGAGACCTCAAAGAGCATCCCAGGTGACAACTGTGATACAAAAGGCAGAGCTGAGGTCCCAGGTCAGGTAGTTGAGGTTACCCAGGGTGTCCTCACCTCTTGACACATTGTGTACTCCCCTAAGAAACTGGAAGGACAGAATACAATAGTGCCCTCCCCACTCTCAGGGGCTTGCCTTCGGGTGGCTGGGCCCCCCTAGGAGTCAGAAGAGACCACCTAAGAGGGGAAATGCAACGGTGAGGATGAGAACACTATCCGATGTGGACCTCCTGAGTTCCCGTGCCAAGCCTGTAGCCCAAGAGTCGGGGCCTTCACATGCAACTCCTCTGGTTTTCCTAGCGGAGAAGAAGATGATGAGCTCAGCATCAGCATCAGGCAGCCAGCAGATCTACTCCCAAGGAAGTCCATTCCCTGCTGGGCACTCGGGCAAGGCCTTCAGGTAGGTGCCAGGGAGGGGAATGTAGGAAGCAAAACCTGAGTGTCAGCATTGGCTCTGTGAGCTGAACAGGAACCAGCCATTCCTGTGCCGTGGGGTGGAGCCAGGATGGGGACTCTGGTCTGCTGGCTCTGCGCCATCAGCCCCTCCATAGGCACTGGGAGTCAGTGACTCTCAGACACCAAAGATACCAACCAGTCTCTCTAAGATCCTGATGGGGAAAGGGGGTTGGTCTATAGCCAAGATCCAGATAGGGCTTGTTGAGAAAGTAGCCAGAACTGCCCTTTCCTCTGGTTTGCTGAGGCCATGGCCAAGTACAAGGAGAAAAGATGGTCTGTCATATCTGACCCTCAAGGGTCATTCAAGGCACGGAGCCAAGCAGGGTGTCTGAGTATTAGCATCAGGGCATGCGATAGCTTACTGAGGAAGCTTGACATCACCACTGAGGGCCAGGCCTGCCTCAAGTTTCTTCTAGGAAATGCAAGCATGACCCCCGGGAGCACTGCCAAAGACAGACCAGCAGTCCTCAGGGAATGCATCCTCCTGTGTCACACCAGCCACTTCTAAGCTTCCTGGAAGCCTCAGGTATCCCCAGAAACAGCAAGGCAGTGTTTTTCCTACATCCTCGTTGAGCTTGACTCAACTCTGAACAGGGCTTCAGGGACCCTTCAGAGGCCAGGGCTGGGCAGACAAATCCAGTGCCCAGAAACGACATTGGCCACAACAGGACAGGAATCTTTCCTCCTTGCTGTTTTAAGAACAGACTTCCTACATCAGCAGCAGGTGTGACCAGAGGCCCTAGCGGGGCTGGACACAAGGGTCAGCACTTTGTTCCCAAAATCCCAGGCAGAGTTACAGCTGTCCCGCCTTAGTCATCATCCTAGGGAGGGCTGCGCAGACTGAGGAATGTGTTAAAGAAGCTCCACAAGACCACAAGGAACAATGAGAAACTCTCCTCTGAGGGAAAGGGAGACGCAGGGGAAATATGCATATATGATGATGTCCTGGTGAAATCCATTACTTTGGAGCTAGGCGTGGTAGCTGACATCTGTAAATCCAGCACTCAGGGGTCTGAGGCAGAAGAATGCCATGAATGTATGGTCAGGATTAATATAGCTGATTTTAAAAAAGAAACCAAATAAAAAATAAAGTCCTCAACAGGGCATGGCGGCACACAACATGCCTTTTGGCAGAGGCTTTTGGCAGAGGCAGGTGGATCTCTGTGAGTTCTAGGACAGCCAGAGCTATGTAGTAAGAAAGACCCTGTTTCAAACAAACAGACACACAGACAGACAAAAAGGCGGCAACAACAAAAAAGGGAACACCCTCTGAACTGAAACATCCATCTGGGGAAGTGGGAAAGAGCTTCTGTGTCAGGTAAACTCATTTGGGAAGACAGACATGAAGTTTGAACAACCACATTTGCTTTGCAATCTGCAAGGGGTCAAAGAGCATAGGAAAAGGTTGGAATACAATTATTAAGACTGTAGTCTGTAACTGCCTTTCTCTCAAAACCCACTCGAAAACCTAAAATTAGACACGCTCAATACATTCACAGCCCCAGCACAGCCCCGTGGAGATAACAAATAGGACCTGGGGCAGCATGAGTCTCCCCCCAGCCTTTCCCATCTTCAGTGGCCTTACAGTCCACATAGCCTAGAAAACCCCTGGAAGAAGGACCTGGCAGTGGAGTAAGGATGCTGCCACAGCGCCCTCACCAGGCATGCAGAGAGCTAGGCACTGGGACACACACTGCAGGGGCCTAACAAAGGGGCACCAACTGAATCCATCTGAAGGCAGAGGAGGTAAACCAGCAGCTACATACCTGACTGAGGCCCTTTCAGCAGCCTTCCATCCCCAGGGTTGTCTCAGAATTGGAACTGACAGCAGGCAGCCTATATGTGGAGCCCGAAAGCCTCCTCAGTGTCCCAAAGGGACAAATTAACCAGAGCGCGAAGAGCAGGTAGCCCAGAGTCTGATTTGTATTCTGAGACTCACGTCTCTTCTTGGGATGGAATCTTTCATACAGATCTGGGGGGGTGCGGGGAGTGGTGGTGGTGGGAGATGCAAGAGCTGACAGATGCTGGGGGAGAGGGAAGCTGAGAATAGAAGCCCACAGGACCCCAGGCCAGAGACGGCAGGAAGGAGAGCCAGGGCAGCATCTTCTGGCAGACTTAAGAAAGCCGGCCATTCCCTGCGAATAAGCTCTGTCTTCTTCTCCTAGCTCTTCCGTGGTCCATGTGCCTGGAGTGAATGACATCCAGTCCTCCTCCTCAACGGGCCAGAACATATCCCAGATCTCACGGCAACTGAACCAAGGCCAGGTGGCATGGACAGGCAGCCGTCCACCCTTCCCGGGGCAGGTATGAGTAACTATGAGGCATGACCTTGGGTGTCCAGAGTAACAGAACACCCACCACCTGCTTTTTTGGGTCCCAACTCTGAGGGTATGTCAGTGCTCCCAACTAGAACAGCCAGCTCCTTGGGGGTCCTTGCCATCCATGGAGCACTTTGAGAGCTGGGTCACCAACAGTTTTATGCCATGTCTGATGAGCACCTCTTTCTTCTCACAACCTCCCCTTAAAAAAGGGAGGAAGAAGAAGTCAGGTACCCAAAGTTTCTTCAGAAAAAAATAAGCCCCTCCATCACTTTGGAGCTCTGGTAGCCACTCTGCCAAGAGGGCCTGTAAATACCCAACCATATAGCAAATACTTTAAGTTCCCTGGAAGGTACTAGAAAGATAGATCTTACTCAGCTGAGAGGCCTCTGTAAGCTGAACTTGGAGAAACCAGGCCATTAGAGTTCTCAAGATAATGCTAACCAGTTCCATGCCAAGTCTCCAGGGCCAGAATGCTGGTCCCTACATCCTGGGCTCATCCCAGGTCAGTAAAGGCAACCAGGGTCTGCTGTTCCTGAAGGGACCTCAGGGGTGGAGCTCATGGGAGGCTGGTTAGTTGTCCTCTTTCTGTCCTAATCAAAGCAAATCCTACCCCAGCCCAGCAAGACACAGTCATCTGCCTTCGGCATTGGATCAAGCCACCCCTATCCGGCTGACCCTTCTTCCTACAGCCCTCTCTCCAGCCCAGCTGCCTCCTCGCCAAGTGGAACCGCCTACCCGAGTCTTGCCAACAGGACTCCGGGTTTCGGTAGGTAGGGGACGATGGAAAGATTTCTTGTTCTGAGCATCCCATGTCCAGGAGCTGAGCCCTTGGCTTCCAGAATATAGGGCAGGGCCCCAAGCTCTTAAGATATGAGGCAGGGCCCCAAAATGTCTCAGCTCCTCTCCTATCTGGCCACAGTCAAGAGGACCTCAGGTGTCCTAAGTCAGGGAAGCATACACCTTGACCCTGAGGTTCAGTGTTGCTATTTCAAGGCATGATCACTCATTCCTGTGTTGTTATATGGTCCAATTGCTAGTTTAACCCTGCATGACCCAAGGGAGAAACTGTCACATCCCAGAAGTAAAAGATCCTCCATTCTCCATTCAGAAACTCAGAGAAGGCAGGGATAGTTGGTTGGGTCAATGATAGCAGAAAGTTCCCTTTTTGAATATGGGAAGGTGCATTTTATGTTTTTTTTTCTCATTCTGTGGCAAGATACCTGACAAAGGTCACTTCAGGACATATGGCTTATGTTGATTCACAATTTGAGGGTCAGTCCATCATCACAGGGGAAGGGTCACACTGTAGCAGCAGTCAGGAGCCGGGAGATGAATCCCAGAGATCAGCTCACTCTTTCCTACATATTTAGTATTTCCATTGCATTTATTTGTATTTCCCCTGCCCATGGACAGTGGTGCCCCTCAGTCAGGGTGAATCTTCTCAACTCTAAACTCCCTCACACGCATACCCAGATGCTATCAACTGTATAACATCTGTCACACTAGGGGATCCCATCTCATGTGAATGTTTCCATGCTCTGCAAGAAAGGCTCGGGCGATAAAGGTGTCGTGGCTCTGACCGTGTCTGGGGGTTCAGTCTTCTCCCAGTTATTCTTGGTGTATCTGATACATGTCAGTATCTCTCCCAAGGCCAGGGTCACACTCCACAGAAGTGGCTGTCCTGCCAAATTACTTATATGGTACAGTCACTGGGTGACATCCAAGAGCGAAGCACCCAAGGATTTTCCGTGCAGACCCATCACTCTCAAGTGAGCAGGAAACCAAGCCGAAACCTCCCGATTTCACTTGTCAAGTTAAAGGCTTCCATTTAAGTGGCTCACCTGTCAGCCTTACAGGAAGCTGTCCTCTGTAACCCATCATACAGTGTAGTTATGAACTGTCACAACATCTCAAGACTCTTTCCTTTGGAGCCAACAGTCCCCCAAGCCCAAACCTTATTTATGTGTAACACACATGTTCAGCCTTTAAATATCCTTACTGTCTCACCCTGGGTCACTGGTGTGAGAAGCACAGACCCCTCAGTCAACCAGGCCCTCAGCTCTGTTGCAACCTGAGGGCGAGGTCCCCAGTTCCCAAGGTTGTGCCCTTCCTGCTTTCATGCATAGGAACAGTCCCTTTCTCTGAGAGCAGGGCCCCCGACTTGCTGTGATTTATCCAGAGACAGGAAGAGACTGGGCTGACCTGTAGCTCAGGCTAGAGGCAGAGACAACGATACAGTCGAGATAGAGGAGACAGGTAACAGGAAGTAGAGAGACACGCCATGGGTCCAGCAGCCAGATCTTCATGGAGGCCCAGGACGGGCAGGAGAATGGTCACTTACAGGGCCAGGCAAGTCTTCAAGAGAGAGAGTAGCACGCATCCCTGGGAGGACTTAAAAGCATCATGTGACCATGACAAGACAGGTGGGGAGGCTCCTCCCTGTCCCAGCAGTCCACTACCTTTACCCATGTGCATTTGGCCACGCTCTGTGAAGTAATGGCAGGTACTGAAGTGTAAATGAAGGTAGGACCCTTAGTTGAGGTCACTGACCAACTCTGATGAGGCTTCAATCTCAACCTAGTCTGTTGCATGTTGCTAGGTGGTAAGTGTGCCAGCCCTGGGCATTACTAGGTGTTTGCTGGACACTGCCCAGGAGGCTTCCACAGAGCGTTTCACATGTTTGAATTCATTTAGCATTTACCTGTCCGAGAGGGAAAGGTCATTCCTATTCCCATTTCACAAGTCAGAATGGAAGCCCCGGGTCCTAATGGATCAATGGTAGAGCCAAGAAGGGGGTCCCTCTGCTCACAACCCTGTGATTTCTATCCCTTAGGACAGGGAAAAAAGTTTCTACTCCCTTATTCAGGGAGTAGAAATAAGCTGGAAGAGACATCTGCCAACATGCCCCTTGCTTTGTGATAACGAGGAGGGTGGGAGCTCTGTTGGGAAGTATGGAAGGGACACTAAGGCAGAGAAGTTAGGGACTGAGGAATGTGATGTGATTGTGCCCTCAAGGCATCCCTCAGTGATGTCAGAGAGATCTGCAGTGGAGTAGGATGCAGGAGCAGCATGTTTGGAGTCTGGCTCTGAGCATGACCAGGGGAAGACGTGGGAACAAAGCAGAGGGCTGGAGGAGGAGCGAGGGAAGGAGCCCAGCTGGAGGGATGTACCACCATCCCAGGAGGCAGGGGATGCACCACCATCCCAGGAGGCAGCAGAGCCCCCTGGGGCTGAGGAAACCTACATCAATGGAGAATGTTATCTTGAGAAGGTGGCCATGAGTCCCTGCTAATGGAGGCCTTAGCTTCCTGCCCCAGGACTTCAAGAATCAGAGCCCTACTGGGGGTGGGGCAACCTTGGACAAGGTCAGAGGAGAGAGTGTATGGTTAGAAAGAGGACCTGGGAGAGAGGTTTACTATCAACCTCAGGGGTACAAGAGAAAGTAGAGGAGAAATAGAGCAGTCTCCATTAATGGTCAGTTTCATCAATTATTAAAGATGAAACAGTTAAAGCTGCCAGTGCCATGTGCATAATGCAGTGAACACCATGCCTGTGGACATCCAGATACAACCCTGCCTATGGACATCCAGATATAACCCTGCCTGTGGGCATCCAGATATAACCCTGCCTGTGGGCATCCGGGGCACCAGACAGATATGACTCTGGGACTCATCAGGGCACCTACAGCAGCACATTGCAGTATTACAGGGGAAATAGGGTTCCTCCCTCCCTCCCCCCTCCCCTCTTCTCCCTCCCCTCCCTCCTTCCCTTCCTCTCTTCCTTCCTTTCTTTCTTTTTGTCCCCTATGCTGACAGCCATGAAGTTTGCCTGTACATAAAACTATACTTTAGACCATTTCCTTGACACCTACAAAATGGGGCCAGCTATAGGGATTATAATTTAGGTTTTTAATTAACCAATTTTTTTTTCTTTGTTGAGCCTGTAATGGGGCCAGGTAGCATTACAGTAAAGCATTAGCCCCTTCTTTAGATGCCCAGATTTAGCCTTGCTTCAGTTCTCAAGGCTGCATCAAAGTAAAGGTAGCCCTGGGAAACTGGATACAAGTTCCCTATGATGGTCCTTGAAGGCGGGTTTAAAGGAATCCACAAATTCCAAATAAAGGATTAACAGGTATTAGGGGAGCACCCACACAAGGATAGTAAATAATCATAATCGCCAGGGTCTTCCTGCTCCTGAAGATGCAGTCTCTGCCCTTCAGGATGCTCCAATCACAACCCAAGAGAGATCAAGCCAGCCCTCCCTCTTCCTTATAAGAGGTCATGTCCACACACCTGAAGCTCTGCCCTAAGATGTGGCCACCACCCCAAGTCCACTGGCGGTACAAGATGCCACTACGGGTCCTAAGTAGGCAAAGACAAGTCCTAGAGCCTCTGGAGTGAAAAGGGGGTATCCCCTTGCCACTAGAAGCAGCCTCCTTCCAGTCCTCCGGTACCTCTACTGATCATCCTTATGTATGTCTGAGCATAGCCCCAAAGGATCGGGAACACTGATTTGGGTCCCAAATCGCCTTAACCCTTCCAGAGTTTAAACCAACTGCATGCATTGCCTCTCTTGGTAGTAAGTCATAACTGTTGAATGCAAGTTCCTGCTGGAAACATCTCTGGGGTGCTTCTTTTTACCTTTGTAGAATAAGGCCTCTTTACAAGGAAGGAGGAAGAGGGAGGGAGGGAGGGAGGGAGGGAGGGAGGGAGGGAGGGAGGGAGGGAGGGAGGGAGGGAGGGAGGGAAGACTGACAGGCATGCAACTAGTGTGTTACTAGGTTCAGAGAAGAGGCTAGCTTATATGAAAGGTGCTTTTTTGCCTTAAATTGCCATTCAAGGTTAAAAGTGGGAGGAGCCAAATTCTCCCCCACCTTGGATATATTGTTCAAGGGAATTTCTTTCTGCCTCATGAATTATCTGCATATCCACAGGAATAGGGCCCTATAGTAAGTGAACAGAGAAGAGCTGAGAACAGTTACAGTGTAGCTATAGTGTACAGTTAGTTACAGTGTATAGTTCTACACTGAGAGGAGAAAGAACACATTGTCCCAGCCTCCTTCACATTGTATCTCCCCGCTATGGGGTTAGGCATTTAGTTTTTGGACAGAGGCTGTGCCACTGCTCTTACCTCATTCTTACTAACTAGCCCCGTGAGATGGGATCCTAGGCTCCCATTTCCCTGTAGAGAGGAGAAAATAAAGTAAGCTTGTGGACACCAGAACGTAAAGATGGTGGTCACTAAAAGCCTGCTGGGACTAGAGTTACTACTTGCCTTATATCCATCTTTCCCCACCCAGGAGGCATTCTGGGTAGGGTTAGGGCTCTGAGAAAATTATCCTGGGGTCTAGGGAAGTACAGGAAAGAATTGTGATGGTGCCATGTGGGAGTCCTGCCTGGGTCTTTAGTTTCCATGATCCTGGCAGGCACCCTGGAAAGTGAGAAGAAAGAAATGGGGGGGATGGGTCTGGACTGTATGAATGAATGCCTTGTTAGAGAAAAATTTGGAGGTATGTGATCAAGGGACCTACCTAAATTAGGGCTCCTAAGCAACCACACGGGCACTGCCACTTGAGTAGTCACATGGCTGTTGCCATCTTACATCTTGACTGATCACACAAGTAGCCTCTGCCTGTGGCGGAGACGGTTCCACAAGAACACATGCTCACTCATCGTCAGGACATGAGTCCTCAAAGGATCTGTGCTTCTCACAGATTAGGCATGGATGAGTATTGGCAGCTACCTCCCAAGATAAGCCCCAGTTGGCAGCTATGCCAATGCATGATCTTGTTGGCCTCCATTTAAATTCTGCTAATATCCCACAAAGAATGAATAATTTGGGGTATTAAGAACCAAAGCCCAAAAGCTGAGAATTGGGGAAGCATGTTTTCCCTGGTTCTGGAGATACCTAAGTCAACATGGACGATTTCCCAGCCAGGGAGGGTTGTCTTGACTGGTGGAAACCAAGCTTTAGTCCCATTTTTTTCCTTTATTTAAAAAGCACTGAATGAGGTCAGCAGAGATGTGGCAGGAAACAGAAGAACATATAAAATAAGAGTGAGTGACATGTAAACACGAATGTAGGACAGATCTTGTATATTGGTACAAAATTGTATGCACAGAAGAAAGTTGTAGGCAAAAAAAAAAAAGCGTAGACAATATTATAGTCTCAGTTCAAGGTGGGACAGTCCATGCCTTAACACAAAGACATCTCATTTTAACCAGGAACACCAAAGGATGTCACCTGGGTCTTATTTTGATTTCCCTTGTCTTTAGGTCCTTGGTTTTCTAAGCTGCTGATGGAGCAGAAGCTCCTGAGACCTGGGGGTAGGAGAGGGATGCACATCCAGCATGTATCTGAGTTGCTACTTTGGTAGCACATGAAAGAACTGGGAGGGAGAAAATGCTGTGTAACATGGACATCCTAGCTCCACATGAGGATAGTATGGGCTGAGACCAGAGGCTCCGTGATCCTCTGTGTTGGCAAACGTTGAAGTTCCTCAGAAAGCACGCTGTTAAAAACAGTTGACTTTGCCGGGTGGTGATGGCGCATCACCCAGCACTCAGGAAGCAGAGGCAGGGGGATCTCTGTGAGTTCAAGACCAGCCTGGTCTACGAAAGCTAGTTCCAGGACAGCCTCCAAAACCACAAAGAAACCCTGTCTCGAAAAACCCAGAAAACAAAAACAAACAGTTGACTTTGATTTCAGGTTCCATCTGCCTTACGTGGCACCTCTGTATCCAGTAAAAAAGCAACTGCCTGGAGACCTTGAGATCATGCACCCAGCTGGTCAAAGGCAGTGTTAATGCCCTCTGTTTTAGTCAGGGGTCTGTGTACCCAATTCTGCTAGGCTACTTGAATTTATTTCTCTCTTCCTTGCCATCCATACCTCCCTGGCTCTGAGGGAATGGCACTGGTAATGCAAATAGATAGTCCTGACACCCTGGGAGAAAAGGGGAGTTAAATTTAGTGCCATTTACATTCCACCATGTGATCATTGGCCACAGACACATGGGAAAACAATCCAAAAGAGAAAGACAGTACTCGTGCCCTTCATGTCTGGCTCTTGTCCACAAGGGAGAGAACCTGGAAAGGAAGGAAGGAGAGATGTATTTTCCTATAAAGGCAGAGTACCAGGGTAAGATGGAAAGAGAAGCCTTGAGGTCAAATCTTCCCAACAGGAATCTAAGCCATAGGGTAACCACCCGGGCAGAGGCGGGTGTACCAGAATGAGCTTACCTAAATCTTGGAATATGGTCACCCGTCATGTTCCCAGAGGAGTGGCTTTAAAGTCTGTTTGTGTTCACCACATGTCACTGGAGAATCTAGTTCCCTTTTTGTGGGTTCTTAGTCTTCTTCATAAAATTATTTAAAAGCTGACTAAGAATGAAGCTTGAGAATCATTTTATTAGAATTTAGAAAAAAAAACTACAGAGAAAGCAAACTGTAGATCCTGGCATCTCTCAAGAGGAGGGAGAAGGAAGAAATCCATGCCTTTGATTAAGGTCAGCAATGGAGGTCTGCAAGCAGGGTCTCAAGGGAAACAGTGAGAAAGTCCAGAGTATCAGTTCAAGCACACTTAGGGGGTTGGATAGTATTCAAAGAAGAAAGGATGAATTACACTTCTTGAGTTAGAATTTAGAAAGTCAGGCAGGCTTAACAGTAAATATCTGTTAAATAACTGTATGAAGGCTTCTAGAGGGTGTAATTACATTGTTACAATTATTCCTCCCATCTCTTTAGCATATCCCCAAAAGAATCAGCTTTCCTGAGGGTAATCACCTGGCCAGGCTATTGATGGGCCCAATTGATGCCAAGCCCTTCCCAGCTTATTTCTGGAAACATGACTAGGATAGTGAGAGGATGAAGAAAAGACAGGCATACATACAGGAAAACTGGTATTCAGTACTCTGATAGAGCATACCTACTAGGCAGCAGCCCAGAACTTGAGCATGTTATGTACAGCATGAAGGAGAGGTTATCTAGACGTGGTACATCTCTGCACCCACTTGCACAGCAGAAACTGGGTCCAGTTCAGTATCTCAAAGGTGGGCAACAAGGGCTACATTTAGAGCTAAGAGAAAACATGTTAGTAACTGTCAGGGAGTGTACAACCTGAATTTCCAAATTGTTTAATCGCTCTGTCTCAAACTAGTTATTGATGTATAGCGTTTCTCATAGAAACATAGGAAGACAGGCCCACAGCTTGCTCAGAGAGCATAGTGTGAGATGCAGAAGCAAGCAGGGATTCCCTCCCCCCTTGCTCCACCATTGCTCCTATATGCCCTGAATTGTATAGCAGCATGTTTCCAGAGACAGCGGCTTGGCAAGCACCAACACGTTCACGTCCTGCATTTTGCATCTGCTTTTCCATTTTAGACTGAGGTAGTTCCAGCAACTCAATCATGATGATGCAAGTCCAGACAGGTAAAAACAGATCAAACCAGCAGGTGACAGCAGAAGACACCAGTGCCCCCTCAGCAAGCCTCTTTTGGAAAGCACCAGGAATTCCCTCCCTACCACACGCTCCACCCAGTCTGGGCTGAGTGGAGGCTGGAGGAAAATGGACTATCATTCCAGAAACATCTGAAGCTTCTTCCACTGAGAAATAGGATGCACAGCGAGGGAAGGGAGATGCAAACCCACTTTTTCCTCCCCCGATCTTGCCCCCCAAATTCTCATCCATGCACATATTTAATCTACAAATTTTGAGGAATTATAGACATACCTGACCCCATTAATCAATGTTGAAAGGTGAGCTCACTGCCAGATTGCTGAAAACTTTGTGGTCCTTGTCTGATCAGCTCAGTAGGGTAGGTAGGAGGCAGCTGCCTCCATTAGGACACAGTCGCTTTTACCCAGCAGGATTTCTCAGCTTTTACACTGCTGATAGGTTAGTCTAATCCCCACAGGGGTAGGATGTCTGCTTACTAAGGATGTTTATCCATCTCCCTGTATGTTTATCTGCCTGTATCCTGCTGTTTGTGAGAATGAGAAGTGCCAGCAGTTCCCTTCACCAAGAACCATTAAGCTAAAGCCAACAGGGCTGAACATACTGAACGGCTGCATAGGACTTCACAGGAATTTTTAGGGCAATTTCTACTCAGTGCAGCCTCCCAGAAGAAATGATAGCAAGTAAGAACGAAGTATAGCATTAAACTTCAATCAAAAAGATGCAAGAAGCTGGGCGTTGGTGGCACACGCCTTTAATCCCAGCACTTGGGAGGCAGAGACAGGCAGATCTTTGTGAGTTCGAGACCAGCCTGGTCTACAAGAGCTAGTTCCAGGACAGCCTCCAAAGCCACAGAGAAACCCTGTCTCGAAAAACCAAAAAATAAAAATAAATAAAATAAAAAGATGCAAGACTGGTCCCTCAGGACCAGAGACTGCCCAGGGTCTGCCAAGTTCACCCTGCTGCTGCAGATGGCAAGTATGGTACCCTTACCCTAGACACCAGGCCTTGCAAAAAGCTGACCCATCTATCCAGCTGCCTCAGTTTTGCTCGGGAAGCTGGGAAATGGATGGCAGTATGGCTGGAACCCAGTGCAAGGCTTTGAACTGTACACATGGCTTTTGGAATAATGACCTAATAAGTGTGTTGGAGACCACTGGGTTATTCCGGAAAGAGTACTTTTATGAATACCTTAGGAAAAGGCCACATGCAACTCCTGCTGACCATCTGCTGTGCAGGTTGGTAGGGTTTAAGCAAAGGACCCACAGTGCTCCCTCAGTCAGGGGAGGTCATGCTGAAGATCCTGCTCGGTTTTTTAGTTAAAGAAGTTACTAGTCCATTTACTAGTCTCCCTTCCCGTGGCTAGCACACTCGCCTTTCATTCAGGTCACACTGTCTTCCTCCAGGAAGACTCTGGTTTAGGTGGGACCTGCTCTTATGCCCCATAGCAGCCTGTGTTCCCCCTTAGAAGAGCACTCAATTGTACTGACCTCTGAACACTAAGTCACTGATTTCAGCACACTAAGTCTCCAGCACTACCCGCTGTCTTAGACTTAAGCTGTATTTATCAAATGAATGAAGGTGGACTTCCATGTCAGGAGGACTAAGATAAACCTCTAGGTTTATATAATAAACAAATAGGGCAAATCTGTTGTTATCTCTGAGCCTTCAGTTTCCTTATCTGGAAAACATGTGTAATGGACTCATCTCTTAGATTTGGAAATGAATTAAAATAATGTAACCAGGACAAGCTTAACAAGCAGTATACAGTTGTCGTTGCTTCAAAATACTTCCATTTCCATTCTTTAGTATTCTATGTCACTCCCAATGCAGCATAATTAATTGATTTTTCCTGTTGCAAATGTTTAACAGCATTTACTGTCTCAGAAGGTTAAATTTTTTTATTTTTTATATATTATCTGCAATTAATAGAACCATGTACCACCGAGTATGAATAATCAGCTAATCTTCCCCAGTCCTCTCCTCCCTCTCTTCACTCTACCTCTGATTATCCCTGAGGTACAACTGAGGAAATTTCATCACGAATCATGTGTGTCTGGAGGCTTCAGATGCAAAAAGAACTAGTATAGCATGCCCACAGTCTTCCTCCCCCATTCTCCTCCCTTCCTCCTCTATATCCCTTCCTCACTTCCTCTTCTCTTCTCTCCTTTCCTTCCTTCATCTCTCCCTTTCTCCTGTCTGCTTGCCCTCTTTCTTCCCTCCTCCCTGAGTCCTCACTCCCTCATCTTTCTTCTTTAAGAACTTACTGAAGCCATTTATATTCCAAGCACCATCCCTGCATCCTGGCACAGCCTGGCCTTAGTTACTCCACTTAGGGTGTCAGTCTAATGCGAAGGGCACTGTAAAAGGGGGTACAGGTTCTGCAAGAAAACCGAGAGACGGCGAAACTGAGACTAGACCCTGGGATCGCATCTCCTTAGGACCATGAGAAATCCAAGAAAATGCAGGAGCAGGGCCAGCCAAGGGAACGTGTGGCAGGGCCAGTGAACCAACCCAGTGGGTGGAAGTGTTTGCTGTACAAGGTGAGCACGGACTCCCAAGGGTTGCCCACTGACCTCCACACATGCATCTGCACACACACCATCCACGCACATGTTAATACACTCTGCTTATTCAAAAAGGAAAGAACACAGGGGCATGAAGACAAGGGAAGTGATGGAATGTGACAGCCAGGCCCTGCCAAGTGAACAGGATGAGAGGGTATGGCTACCAAGATAAGAAGAGAGACATGAGGCTGGAGGAGCAGATAGAAGCCATACTCAAGGAACCCTCAACGACCTGTAGGCAGTGTCCCTACAGGAGGGTGGTGGCAGAACCCTATGCATCTGGGAGTGGATGACAGTGGAACCCAGAATACAGTAGGGAGAGTGAGCTTAAAGGAAAGACACGGTGGTGAGATATGCCACTGAGGGAGCAGAGACTGAGCAAGCCCCTGTGGGGGACTCAATGAGGGAGAGACAGGAAGTGAAAAGCAAGTCCTGACTGCGGGCTGTGAGGCGTAGAGGCGGCTGCTGCAGGTATGTAGACTGACACCTCAGCTTGGCTTTTGTGTTTTACATACACATTACACATGTGTGCAAATGCACGCATGCACACATATGCTCGTGCACGTTCACACACACACACAAATATTTTTTTTAGTTAAGTCCCATAAATAGTTTAGGCAAAATTCTCATTCCTCCTATTTTCTGTTTTGAGGCCACCATGAGCAGCCACAGGGGCATAGAAAGCTCTGGGGATTGGAACACAAGTCACCTGACAGGCACATTCTAGCAAAAGCTGTTTTTTCTGACCAAGCACTGCCATTTCCCAGGACTTCCTTGATTCTTCTCCACTCCGCTCATTCTCTATCAGAGGAAGGAGGAAGCCAGGAAAAAAGGCTGTTTGGGTGGGACGTGCCTTTCAGGAGTGTGGAGCCCCCGAGTGGCACTAGGATGGGGGAAGTGACAGAATATGACAACTAGTGTGATGTCCATTGGATGTTTCAGCTGAGAGTGGACAGAGTGGCGGGCAATTCCAGGGCCGGCCCTCGGAGGTCTGGTCTCAGTGGCAGAGCCAGCACCACGGACAGCAGAGCGGTGAGCAGCACTCCCACCAGCAGCCTGGCCAGACTGAAGTGTTCCAGGTAAATCCAGCGAGCAGCGCCTTCTCGTAGGTGTAGGTACCTGCGCCTTCTCTGCTTCCTTATGCTCCTCTCTGCACCTCTGCCTGCCCTACCCGGTAACCAGCAAGAGATCCCGCCCAGCCTGCAATACGGGGAGCCCACAAGTAGAAGGTCCTGCCCTGCCCAGTCAGAGCCTGAAGGTACACAGAAGAAGCAATCAGGCCTTTCCCCTGCACCCACATAGAGGAGGCTGAATCCTGAACTGAACCCCAGTAGGGCAGCGGGACTCGGGAGCAGGGAGTTAGAGAACCTCAGTGTTCACCATGGGCAGTATGCACAACCTCCAAGAACGGCAGGTCCCTAGGGGCTTGACTGCTCAGCCTCTCTCCACTATGGCAACCAGGAGGAGGGACTCCCTTCCCCAGACCCTCAGCCCATGGCAGCTGGAGCACTGCTCGGCTCTCCAGGTCTGGTTGTCTATTGGCTGAGGGTCCCAGGCTACTTCCACACCTCTACTTCTAGAGACATGTCTTGCTCTTCTCAATTCCTGGCACAGACCAACCTCACTGTGCTGATGACAAGGCCATGGACCTGCTTGTCACACAGGGCTCAGCCTTCCAGGGTAAGTGCAGGTATGAGCCCCTTGACTCCCCTCAGCTAGAGCTGGGCCTGCCCACCCAGACTCCTAGCAGCAGCCCAAGCTGCTCTGTGGGGCATCTGCTGCCTGCCTTGTGCAGCAAGGCTCCAGGTAAGAGCCAAGGAGGCTCAGGCCACACTCTTCCTGCTCAAGGCTTAATCCCTCATTCACACACACACACACACACACACACACACACACACTCTTACTCCCACCTGGTCAAGTATCATTTCACAGAACCACATCTAGATCCTGGTGTCACTCAGGGGTCCACAGGGTGGTATCCTCTTCCCAGTACAGGGAAGTGCCTTTCTTGGGCCTACCTTTGACTTCTCTCCTTCCCACTATAAGTACCAGACCTCACCCAGTTTTCATCTCATAGAGTGACCCTGAAAGGCTTAATTCCCTAACAGTGTGTCTTCAAGGTCACCTTGCCAAAACTAATTCTTGGTCAAATGATTTTGGGAAACACCAATTAAAGCAAGTTATTCAGTTTCTTTCTTACAGGAATTATCAGAGCCTTTATTATACCTGAGGAATGGATTCCTAGGAGGTAGGAAACCTTGCCTTGTTTCCCAAGCACATCTGACCACAGAATTCTTTGCCCACCATTATCACGTGGGCTGGAAATTGGACAAAGCACAATGGAACTTTTGCCTGGAGGAATCGAAACTCTCCCAGTGTTTTCAAAACAGGTAGTGTAGGGTCTAGCAAACTAGGACTAGATAAGTAACCAACCTTCTACTCAGGGATGGCACCACCCACCCTGACAGGCCCCTGCGCCCAGGTCAGTCCTGCTCAGGCTCCTGCTTGGTTGGCAGTCACATGTTTGGTCAGTCTTGCTTACTGCTGCAGGCCTTGCTTGCCCAGCCAGGCTCTTTCCACCTGTGGGCTTAGCTTCAGTAAAACGCTGCAGCCTGGTGGTTACCTTCTTCGTGACCATGCCCAAGAGAGCAGCTTCCAGGGGAGTCAGATATTGAGGATCCCTGAAGAGCAGCCCTATACGCAAAGCTATGCAAAGGAACCCTTCCTTGCTCACTAGAGAGATGGCCGAGGGGATCAATGGCAGGCTGGACTCCGGGACAAGGGCAGGCTCTGGGTGAGGCCACTGACCACTGGGACTTTCTGTTCTTCTCCTCTCCAGGACATGCTGCCCATGCCGGGGGACCCGACGCAGGGGACTGGCAACTATAACATCGAGGACTTTGCTGACCTTGGCATGTTCCCTCCATTTTCTGAGTAGCTTCAGGCAAAGCCAGGCTCCTGCTGCCTAGGAGCTATTCTTGTTATGGCATAGATGCCCATGTTCAAAGGGCCCCCCTTACTCAGCTTGCCCTGCTGCAGAACCTCCAGAAGCTCCCCTTATTCCCCATCTCCCTGGACATGGCATCACCTGGCTCTAGCCCACAGGCTTGGCTTCTTGGGTTTGAAACCTTTGTATTTATTGTACTTTATCTGTGTGCTCAGAAGGGGGCCTCCAGGGTCCGTAAATTCCATTGTGAATAATGTCTAAATGGACAGTTTGCACCCATCAAGTGTTTGCTTGGCATCCACAGTGGCTGGCAGCACCAGCAGGTCTGCCTGGTGCAGAAGCTGGGTTTCTTTCTGCTTTTTCACAGCTGCCGCCTGGGGGCTTCAGGAAGGACTGAGAGGCAGTAACCTGGACTGGAGCCAGGCGCACAGGGACCCAGGCGAGATTCCCACCACTCGCTGTCCTTGATGGCCTGGGGCCAGGTGTGCTTTGTACAGTGAGAATCAGAGTTGTGACTTGGTAGATGTACTGTGATGTGTTGGTGTGTGTGGCCCATGAGAGTGAGAAGCTGTCCCCACTCGGCTGTATTTCAAAGGAGAGCACCACAGGGCCCTGGGAGCTGGGCTGGCAGCCAACCCTCCAGGAGGCAGGACTGGGGAGCTGCTCATGGTGTAAGCCATTTCTTTGGTCCCCTGGCCCTTTTACAGACAGCGTCCACTTAACATTCCTAGCCTTTCCTCCTGGCGACCTATGAGAGTGCTCACTCTTCTCTCACTAGGCCTGAGGGACAGTGTCCTGATTCCATGAAGGGCATGGCATCCTCCCTGCTGTGTAGCAGAGCTGAGCTGTTTCCTGCCCAGCTCCTTCAAAGGTCACACCTGGCCCTCTGTACAGATCCCGATGCCCCGCTTCTCAGTGTCTCTGACACCTTCTACTCAGTAACCTAGGAAAATGGGGCCACATTCTGGGCGGGGAAGCGTGCTCTGGGCCACCTGAGCCTCCATCCTCAGCAGGCAGGAGAGCCAGGCGTATCTCAGAACAGACACAACCAGGCCTTGGAAGCCATGGACTCGGCTCTGGCCACACTCTTACAGTGGTCTTAAGGTAGAACTTTGAGCTAACTTCTAGAAACTTCTGACCCCAGAGTCCCTGTGTTAGTCAGATTTGACAGAGCTTCAGACTCCACAGGTTTTGCAAGTCCCAGAGCTCCTCCCCCGTCCCATGTGCTATGGTGAATGCTCCCTGCCTCCCTTCACTTAATCGAGCCTCATCTCAAGCGTCTCATCACCATGGATCAGCGTGAGTGTGAGAGAAGCCACAGAGCTACCTTAGGCAGGCCCTGGGGTCCTCCGGAACTCTTTCAGGAACCCCTTGTTTGAATGTGGAAGTACAGGCTCTCGGAACAGCCCTGCCTTGCACCTGGCTCCAGGAATGTTGGGAGCATAATAGGTTCCAGGACCCATGAGAGCAGAAAGATCGCATGGATTAAAGGCCTAGGAGAGTAGCACTACATTCCTAAGCTCAGCTTTGCCTGCCACCCAGGGAGCACCAGTGTTTTTATAGGACTCACCTGCAAACTCTGCTTAGCTCAGCAGGAAAACCTTGGGGATCCCCGCCCCTGACAAACTCTGGTCCCAGCGGTCCTCAGACAGCTTTGAACCCTTCCATGGAGACTAATAACACAGTCTGAGGTCCATCCCAGCCTCAGAATTCCAAATAGGTCTCCTATGTGTGCTGCCTGGTATATCTTCTGCCCCAACAGCCTGGAGCTGGCCTCAGGTGGTGAGCATAAGTTATAAAAGAGAAAACAGCCCAAAGCTAGCTTCTGGAGCAAAGTGATGAAACCAGCTGTGGCCTTTAACTTATGAATTAAGAAGCGTGGGGGCTTGAGTTTGGTTTTTTACTACCTTTGGAGGAAAAGTGGGACTTTTCTCAGGTGTGTGACACAGGTTACATGGGCTGTCACTCCCCAATGTGAGCTCACCTGCTTTGTGATGGCTGTGACCTATCACACAAGCAAAAACAAGTCATTTGCTAATCATCAGTAACAAGGTAAAATTGCAACCCTCTGTGTATGTGGCCATGGGTTGTGTGTCCTAACTTGTCAATCCACCCTCCCCTTCCCTACCAAGCTGATGCTCACCTGAAGTGCCACCACTGGGGAAACTGAAGCAGGAAAGGTCATGAGCTCAGGAGTTCAAGACCAACCTGGGCAACAAAATAAATGTATAGCTGAGTAACTTGGCCATGTTCCATGTACTGAGGAGTCACAGAGTCACTAGCTCCCTGACTGCCCTCTTCCGCCATTGCCTAGAATCTGAAACAGCTTTGAAGAGGTAGCTCACAGGGCATGGGCACATTTCTACATGTGACATGCCATGTCTTGTGCCCCAGGGCTGGGTTTGTTCAGGTAGCTTGCAAAGCCTTGTAGGTACAGGTAGTAGCAACATGCAGCTGTTCACAGGCCATGCAGGGCCCCGCACTGTACTTTGTCTAACTATCTGTTTCCTTAAAGAAGAAAATTCCCAGGCAGGCTTCCATGGACAGCAAGCACTTACTCATCTCTCTCTTAGCCTTCCTTCTTAATGGATGTGAACTGTGCCGTGGGTAAATCATTTGTATTTCTTAAGCGTTCTGTATGACTAACAGGTATTAAGTCACTGGGTATGTGTATAACTAATGTAACTGCCTTTTAAATTTTCATTACAATAAAAAATGACTTTGCTCTGAACAGTGAGAGCCTCGGGACCAGCTTGGTAATTGATCAACTTGAGGCACCCGCCCCTGGGAGTCTGGGATAAGCTGCCTCCAGCCAGTCAAGGATGTGCAGTACAGACATGCTGAAGAGTCATACTTCAAGTTCTAGCTCCTTAGGACAGAAAAGGAAACAAGTGATTCTTGAGCAGTGTTCTCAACCTGTGGATCACAACCCCCTTGACAAACCTCTATCTCCAAAAAATATTTACACCATGATTCATAGCAGTAGCAAAATTACAGTTATGAAGTAGCAATGAAAATGATTTTATGGTTGGGGATTACCACAACACGAGGAACTGTATTAAAGGGTCGCAGCTTTAAGAAGGTCGAGAACCACTGTTCTTGAAATTCAGTGGAAGGCAGGGCTCTCTAGAAAACTGGACTTCACAAACACTAAAGGCATTTCTTTTTCCCAAAGACTTTAAAGAGAATGCCTGGAAGAAAGTCCTGAATCATACATCTAAGAAAGACTTGTATCCAGGAACTACTGGATGCAAGGAATTGCTCCTCCAACTCAAGACAGAAATCTTAGTACCAATAAAAATAGCTGAACATACCACAGCAGTGTTTTTCTCAAGAATTCATATATAGGCTGCTGGGTGTGACACATGCCTACAATTGCAGTTCAGATGGGCTGAGGCAGTAGGATTGTCTGAGTGAGTGCAGAAGTTCCAAAGCAGCCTAGGCAGCAACATGGTGAGACTCTCTCTCTCTCTCTCTCTCTCTCTCTCTCTCTCTCTCTCTCTCTCTCTCTTTCTCTGTATTGTTTTGGAGGCTGTCCTGGAACTCACTCTGTATATCAGGCTGGCCTTGAACTCACAGAGATCTGCCTGCCTCTGCCTCCTAAGTGCTGGGATTAAAGGCGTGCACCACCAACACCTGGCAAGAATCTATCTCAAAGCCATGCATTCATGCACAAAGCAGATACGCATATGACATTCCTGGTTAATAGCTTTAGTTCTAGAGAAAAGTTAAAAATTACAAATGTTTTTCAGAATAAGAAAAAAGGAACCCTTATTCATAAGGAAATAATATTTCGTCTTCACATGGAGGTTTCTTAAAGTTTTTGGTTGGTTGGTTTGGGTTTGTTTGGTTTGGTTTCTATGTTTTTTGTTTTTGTTTTTATTTTTCGAGACAAGGTTTCTCTGTGTTGCCCTAGCTGTCCTGGAACTCCTTCTGTACATCAGGCTTGCCTTGGACTCAGAGATCCACTTGCCTCTGCTTCCCAAGTGCTGGGATTAAAGGCGAGCGCTACCAATGCCCAGCTTCTTACAAAATTTTAATGGGACATTTCATTTTATTTTCTATTGACATGATAAAATAACCTGACAAAAGCAATTGAGGGAGAAGGGGTTTATTTTAGTTCACAGCTCTAGATAATATTCATCATGATCAAGAAAGTGTGAGCTTGAAGCAGCTGGTCGCACTTCATCCACAGTCAGGAAGCAGGGGTGAAGCAGCTGGTCGCACTTCATCCACAGTCAGGAAGCAGGGGTGAAGCAGCTGGTCGCATTTCATCCACAGTCAGGAAGCAGGGGTGAAGCAGCTGGTCGTACTTCATCCACAGTCAGGAAGCAGGGGTGAAGCAGCTGGTCGTACTTCATCCACAGTCAGGAAGCAGGGGTGAAGCAGCTGGTCCCACTTCATCCACAGTCAGGAAGCAGGGGTGAAGCAGCTGGTCGCACTTCATCCACAGTCAGGAAGCAGGGGTGAAGCAGCTGGTCGCATTTCATCCACAGTCAGGAAGCAGGGGTGAAGCAGCTGGTCACACTTCATCCACAGTCAGGAAGCAGGGGTGAAGCAGCTGGTCCCACTTCATCCACAGTCAGGAAGCAGGGGTGAAGCAGCTGGTCACACTTCATCCACAGTCAGGAAGCAGGGGTGAAGCAGCTGGTCCCACTTCATCCACAGTCAGGAAGCAGGGGTGAAGCAGCTGGTCCCACTTCATCCACAGTCAGGAAGCAGGGGTGAAGCAGCTGGTCGCACTTCATCCACAGTCAGGAAGCAGGGGTGAAGCAGCTGGTCGCATTTCATCCACAGTCAGGAAGCAGGGGTGAAGCAGCTGGTCACACTTCATCCACAGTCAGGAAGCAGGGGTGAAGCAGCTGGTCACACTTCATCCACAGTCAGGAAGCAGGGGTGAAGCAGCTGGTCGCACTTCATCCACAGTCAGGAAGCAGGGGTGAAGCAGCTGGTCGCATTTCATCCACAGTCAGGAAGCAGAGGTGAAACAGCTGATCACACTTTATACACAGTCAGGAAGCAGGGGTGAAGCAGCTGGTCGCACTTCATCCACAGTCAGGAAGCAGGGGTGAAGCAGCTGGTCACACTTCATCCACAGTCAGGAAGCAGGGGTGAATAAGCTGGTCGCACTTCATCCACAGTCAGGAAGCAGGGGTGAAGCAGCTGGTCACACTTCATCCACAGTCAGGAAGCAGGGGCGAAGCAGCTGGTCACACTTCATCCACAGTCAGGAAGCAGGGGTGAAGCAGCTGGTCACACTTCATCCACAGTCAGGAAGCAGGGGTGAAGCAGCTGGTCACACTTCATCCACAGTCAGGAAGCAGGGGCGAAGCAGCTGGTCACACTTCATCCACAGTCAGGAAGCAGGGGTGAAGCAGCTGGTCCCACTTCATCCACAGTCAGGAAGCAGGGGTGAAGCAGCTGGTCGCACTTCATCCACAGTCAGGAAGCAGGGGTGAAGCAGCTGGTCGCATTTCATCCACAGTCAGGAAGCAGAGGTGAAACAGCTGATCACACTTTATACACAGTCAGGAAGCAGGGGTGAAGCAGCTGGTCGCACTTCATCCACAGTCAGGAAGCAGGGGTGAAGCAGCTGGTCCCACTTCATCCACAATCAGGAAGCAGGGGTGAATAAGCTGGTCACACTTCATCCACAGTCATGAAGCAGGGGTGAATAAGCTGGTCGCACTTCATCCACAGTCAGGAAGCAGGGGTGAAGCAGCTGGTCACACTTTATCCACAGTCAGGAAGCAGGGGTGAAGGCACGGTAGTGTTCAGCTTTGGTTCATAGTTTATCGACATTATATGTAACCTAAGTGGTCCTGCTCACAATTAAGATGGGTGTTCCCACATCAGTAATCCTACTCATCACACACACACACACACACACACACACACACACACACACACACACACACACACAACGCCAAAGAACCCATCTGTGGTTCTATTTTGTCAAGTTGAAAATTAGTACTAACTACCACAGACCTATTTTCTAAAGAGTACATGTTGCTTATAAAATAATAAAACTTATTTTAAAAGAACAAATCGCCCACTAGAGGAGGAGGAAAATGTGATTTGTCACTCGTTCACTGAGAAATCCTGAAGTGTTTTGCCTCAGAAAGGTGTAACAGAAAAGTGTCTATGACCAGTGTGCCCTATCACTGCACAAGTCCATGAATGGGAAGCTGGGTGGACTGCAGAGTAGGGGCACAGTACAAAGAAACAGCAAATAAAAGCCAGATTCTTGCCAGGACCTGAGCTGACACCCTACCTATGTTCCTTCTGTTGTCGATAAACTATGAACCGAAGCAAACTCTCTACATAATTATTTTCCTAATTGTGCACATAATATAAGCCATGTGAGAATATAGAACGTTATTAAGGATTAAACTGTGAGTAAGTGACATGCACTTGTAATCTGTGCACTAGGGAGGTGGGGATAGCCAGATCCTTGGAGCTCACTGGCGAGCCAGTCTGCTGATAAAGATGAGTTCTAGGTTCAGTGTCTGTCTCAAAAGGAAATGAAAAGATGATGATTCCGAAGGAGCATCATCCAAGGTTGATCTCTCTGTCTTCACATTCCCTTGCACACACCTGAACGCATACACATAATATTGTGTTCTGATTCATCATCAGTAAGCCTGAGTAGAGGGAGGAAGGGTCAAGTCCGGAAGTGAGGACATTGACTGCTCAGAATTCAGAGAGTGTGTAGGGAAAGCTTAGCACGTGTCATACTGCTATCCAGAGATCCCCATCATCTCCCAGTCTCTCCTCAACTTCCACAGGGGAAATTAAGGCGTGTCCTGGATTGCTGTTTGCCTGCTCATCTTCTCAAGCTTGTTATTTCTGGAAACACTTATGTGACACCTACCACCTGTTATGCATAGTGCTGGCATTGGGTTAACATAAAGAAAAACTAGGCTTCCTAAGTATAAAGAGTTCCCCATCACTAGGGAAATAGATGAGCAAGCAGAACATGAATTTCTGGAATATGCTAAGAGTCTAGGAATAGGATATCCATTAAGCTCCAATATAAAAGAGGGCTGTATTCAGGAAAGACTGGGGTGATCAGCATGACAACCACTGGCTCCTATGGCAATTATATGGTAAAAAGAGCCAAGGAGAAAACACCCTGCCCCTGATTTGACCACAGGACCAAGCCTTGAAATCCCACCAGTCCCTGAGCTCTATACCCTGTCCAGTTTGCTGCTGTTTCTCACCTGAGCCAGCCTCCTGGACTCTTCCTTTCCCAATAAATATCTCAAGTGAGGTTTGTTAATGCTGTGTGATATTTTCACTAGAACAGAACCCAGCTGTATCAACTTTTGCTGTAGCCAAAGCCTGAGAGGAGGAGAATTGTAACACTTTCACTAGGGGAATTTTCCCCTAGCAAATAAGAGTTGTTACATTACAGGGAACTTGGGCAGAGCAGTAACACTTCTCTAGATCAGAGCTATAACAACTTTGCCAGGTAAACCCTTTCCTGCCAGAGCAGAGTTGTTACACTTGTATTGGGGAAATCTTCCCCTGGAGCAGGACTGTAAGCTGTTGTACTCATGGTGACTTATGGTTTTCCTTGGCTCCTGACTTCCAGGATTCCTTTTCATCCATGCTGCAATGCTTACTTACAACAAAGGTGTCTTTGCTGACTCACAGCTTCTGAGCTCAGTTCTTTCAGGGAACACTTAAAGCATTCCCATCTCAAATCCCAAGACTCTAATAAAGTAT